GTAAAAGATTTGATAACTCACAGAACTGGGACTAAAAGACATCTAGAAAAATCAAGTGACTCAAGAAATTTCCAAGTTTTAGTCTTTTTCATAGCAAGAAAACAAAATAACAACAAAAGCAAAATTCATGTTCTTCACACATGAGTAACTCATGGTGTGCCCAGGCTCTTCTACTTGTGCTCATAGTAAACAAGCTGTTACAGGAATATAGTGTGTATGATTGTGTATATGCATGAGCCAAGCACAAGATGAAATTACAAAACACAACAAAGAACTTCTTAGAATGCAGTCCCTGTAGTTAATTAAATTTGAAACATAATTCTGCTTTTTTTGAGTAAGTATTGGTGTACTCATTACAAAAATCAAAGCGATTTGTAGCTATTTATATCTACTGAGATATCTTGTTCCTGTTGGTGTATTTGTCTTATCTCCTTTGTGCCCTAAGTCATCATTCACACATTTTTTATGTAGCCCTCCAGCTTGCAAATGTAAGCAGAAATATATCTATCCTTCCCTCACTGTTACCATCTTTCAAATAAAAAAAATAACACTATTCTCTACTTTGTTTTGCCTAACAGTATGGTGTGGAGATCTTTCCATACTGTTCTCCTGTATACAGTGTGTAGGTCAGTGTTGTCACTATAGCAGAATGCCGAGTTGCCTTCTAAAAGGAAAAGGGTGGGAGTGACTTAAACTCTATGATTAATTATCCCCATTAGTGTGGTGAGGCAGTACATCATGACAGGAGCATGTGGTATGACAAAAATACTTTACAAGCCAGAGATAAAAAAAGCTAATGGAAAGGGTCAGGGCCCTCAAAGTCAACTTCTAGGATATGTCCCCAGTGGCCCAAGGACTTCTCAGTTGGTTCTACAATTTCTTAATGGCACAACTTTTGTTTTCATACCTTTAATTCTTTGGGATTTTGGAGTGCATTTAAAATCCAATAATAGAATATGGTCCTGGGCTATACCAGCCTTCAGTGTATGGCTGTGTAGTCTGTTGGTATTGGAGATAACAAAAGCAGGGATAGACATGTATATGTCATTTTATCTGATTGCAGTTATATCTTCAGGATTCCATCCCAGAAATGGAATAGCTGTGGCATGTTCGGTTACTAGACTTGTGAGTTTGATAAAGTAAGGGAGCATTATATTTCTTCAATAATAAATGTGGTGCTAGCATTTAGTAGTCAACTGTTGTATGTAGTGAACTGAGTAACTAGAGTTAACACTCATCACTGTCTGTAGGGGGTAAATTTCTTTAAAAATTTTATGAGTTTTGCTTGTATGTATGTATGTATACTGTGTCTGTGCCTGTAGCCCGTGGAGGCCAGAAGAGGGCATCAGATCTCTTGGAACTGGAGTTACAGATGATTATAAGCTACCATTTAGAAATGCTGGAAATCTAACCTGCATCCTCGGGAAGAACAGCAAATGCTCTTAGTAACTGAGCTACCTCTAGCCCCCTCTTCACTGTTTTCGATTAAGTTATCCATCTAACAAAGTAGTATTAGAGTCTCCAGTTGACTGCCTGGTGCCATTAGTGTGATATAATTGTGTGATTGTGTATGAAACTAGATAAACTTTGAAGACTATGACCTGCATTCTTAGCCAAATAAGTTATAGAGCACTCCATCTATTTACACACTAGGAAAGAATCCTTGAAGCTGCTGACAGCCGGGGCCAGTAAGAACCCTGTACTGTGCAGTGGAACAGGATTTTACTGTAATAGACAGAGTCCAGGTAAATGTGGCTTGTTTCTAGCAGGACGAGGCATAATTTTAACTGTGTTCTAATGTTTTTACTGAGGAAATAGCACTTATTTGATAAGTATAACTAAAAAATTGGTTATTTTATAAAATACTCTGTCACATTAGGAAAGGAACACTGAAATGTGTTTCTGTATCTGCTTTTGTGGTTCGATGGAAACTTAAGCATTTCACTCTTCACAGACAAGGAAACCTGGAAGGTAAAAGAGACATGCTTGGAGGGAACCTAGAAGAAGCTCTCTATTCCAGGAGCTTGAAATTTACTCCTTGGTAGCTAGATGCAGTAACTCATAGCTTGAATGGGAACCAGGTATGCTGGCTTGCCAGTAGCCCTAGCTTCTTGGATGCTGCAGGAGGAAGATCACTTGAGTCTAGAAATTCAAGGGCAACTTGAACACCGTAGCAGTTATTCCTCTGAGCTTATCTACAGGAATAAAATCAAGAATAGACTAGAGATAAGATGTTTGTTAAAACACCTCACCTAGTTTCTTTGTTATTTCAAATTTTCTTTTGTCCCAAAGGTCGCTTTGTTCTTGGTTGTAACACCAACTTCTCAACTGAAGTTGGCATTATATTTCCTCAATCCTTAGAGATGTATTCACTTATTGCTTAACAATGGTATACACACAATGTGAAAAACACATTGTTAGATAGTAAATCAAGATTACTATGACATCGCTTTGATGATATAGTTGTACAAGACCAACTGTAAATGTGCCAGTATTATGAAGCACGCTTACTTACATATACCCTGAATGAAGCTAGAAGGGTAATTAAATTTATACATTAAATAGTTTATTTCAAATTGGTTGATGGTTAGTATTTTTTATTTCTGTGGCTATCCTAGAACTCACTGTTTAGACCATTCTGGCTTCAGGCTCACAAAGATCTACGCATCTCTGCCTCTTGAATTCTGGGATTGAAAGTGTGTACTACCACACCTGGTTCGTTCTCTTTTCTTTCTTTCTTTTTCTTTTGTTGTTGTTGGTTTTGTTTTGTTTTTTGAGATAGCCTTGTGTGTCCTACACTTGTCTGTGTAGGCTTGTCTGTCCTGTACTTGCTTTGAAGACCAGGTGGCCTTGAACTCACAGCGATCCACCTGCCTCTGCCTCCCAGAGTGCTGGGGTTACAGGTGTGAGCTACCACACCCAGCTTGCTTGTTTGCTTGTTTGCTTTCTTTCTTTGAGTTTTATTTTATTTTATATATTTGACCATTTTGATTGCTTGTATGTATGTGTACCACTTGTGGGCCTGGTGTCGGCAGAGTCCAGAAGGGGCTATTGTATCTCCTGGAGCTAGAGCTACAGGTCTGGGAACTGAACTCAGGCACTCTGGAAGAGCAGCAAATCCTCTTAACCACTTAGCTTTCTCTCTGGCCCAGTTAATTTTATTTTTAATTGTGTATATGCGGGTGCAAGTGCCTATGGAGTGCCAGAAGAAAATGCTGAATTGTTTGGAGCTATAGCTACAGGCAGCTGTGAGCCACCTGGCCTGGGAACTGGGAACCAAACTCGGGTCTTCTACAAGAATAGTACACAAGCTTAACCTTGGAGCCATCTCTCTAGTCCCTGCATTTGGTATTTCTAATAATTGATAGTTATGGATATAGTCTAACAGTACATGTCTAAGGCTCTAGGTTCCATCATCAGCACAAACAAATGCAACATGCAAGTTGTTAATGGTAAAATTTATTTTAAATCTATGCATAATTTTGTGATATAATAGGTATTCTTTATAGCAAGTGTATAAACAAATTGCTGGATTAGGTCAGGGCAAAACAGTACAAGACAGTATTAATTTTTTTTTTAAATTAACTCCATAAGCAACCAACTATCTAGAATTAGAAAAAGAGTTGCTAAATTAGATGTGGCAGTTCGTATCTGTAACCTAGCACTTGGGAGGCTGAGGCTAGAGGATCATGGTTTTGAACCAGTGTCAGTCAATTATATAATGAGTTCATAGCTAGCATGGGCTGCACGTTGTTCCCCTGTGTTTCTTATTTTCACTCTGTCTTAGTTAGATTTTCTATTGTAGTGATTAAAACACCATGTCTGAAAGCAACCTGGGGAGGAAAGGGGTTTATTTTAGCTTATACCTTGTAGTCCATTGTCCAGGTCAGTCAGAGCAGGAACTGAAACAGGCATGGAGGAGTGTTGCTTACTGGTTTTTATCCTTATGCCTCTATCAGCCTGTTTGTCTGTCTTTTCCTTCCCCTCCCTCCCTCCCTCTCTCCTCCTCTCCCTCTCTCCTTCTCTCCCCCTCCTTCCCTCCCTCCCTTCCTTCCTTTCTTTCTTTTCTTTTGTTTTTTGGTTTGTTTGGTTTTGGGTTTTTGTTTTTTATTTTATTTTTCAGAGATAATCTATAAATGTAGTCTTGGCTATAGAAGACCAGAATTCACAGAGATTCTCCTGCCTCTACCACCTGAGTGCTAGGATTAAAGGTGTGCATCACTATGCCACAGCCTGCTTTCTTATACCACTCAGGACCACCTGCCCCAGGGTATCACTGCCCCGGCCAATGGACTTGACCTTCCTAATCAGTCATTAATCAAGAAAATGCCCAACAGACTTGCCTATAGAGAATATGATTGAGACTTTTTCTCAGTTGAGGTCTGTCTTACCAGATAAGTCTAGCTTGTATCAGGTTGCCAAAAAACCAACTAGCAGACCCTCTTTAAAAAATGGAGGAGAGAAAGGAATAATACAAACCACATTAGGTCTGAGTGTTGCCTTCTAACCAGAGGCCTAATTTGAGGATAGTTGGTGCTTTGCTTTCTACCCTCATTCGTTAGTTCTGATCTCTTAGGCTTGTCTATTTTCTTCCCACTAATAACTTAGAAATTTAGAAGCTGGGCATAATAGCACTTGTAATCCCAGCGCTTGGGAGACAGAGGCAGGAAGATCACTGAGAGAGTGAGGCCAGCTTGGCCCACACAGTGAATTCTAGGATAGTCAAGAGTTCACAGTAGGACCCTTTCTCCAGTTTTAAGTTTCAATTTAAAAGGTTTGTGCTCGTTTGCATCAGATGTGGTAGTATTGATCACTTACTGTTGGCTAGACATTGTGTTTGGCAAATACCATCGTAGTCTCCTTATTACAATGAGAGTGGTGATATTTTCAATATAAAGTATTAAAGATTTATAGTTCTGCAACTGAAACAAGTTAACAAAGCACTTTGAATTGTTTTTTATTTTGTTTGTTTTTGTCTTTCAAATCTCCCACACCTGCAGCGTACCAGTAATGTTCGATCTACATTTTTCAAAGACTGTTTATATGAAGTATTTGATGACCTGGAGTCAAAGATGGAAGATTCTGGAAAACAACTCCTTCAGTCTGTTCTCCATCTGATGGAAAATGGAGCCCTAGTATTAACTACAAATTTTGATAATCTCTTGGAACTATATGCAGCCGACCAGGGAAAACAGCTTGAATCCCTTGACCTTACAGATGAAAAAAAGGTGAACCATTAACCAGTAGCCTTCTCTTCTGTGGTATCTTCCTCAGAAAAACTGTCTTCTGCTCAGTATATTAGTATTTATGTGGCAAAGGTGTTTTAGTTACTCTTCACATTGCTATACCCAAACAACCTAAAACAGGAAAGGCTTATTTGAGTTCACTATTGCAGGGAGTTTTGGGCCTCACAGTAAGAGGAGCACAATGGAGAGGCTCCCTTTCGTGGTGGTGGGAGTATGTGGTAGAGACTGTTCACATCGTAGCAGATCAGAGAGCTAGAAAGTAGATCTGAATTAGGACCAGATTATAACCTTCATAAATCTCTCCTGTAGTGGTCTGTTTTTACTGGCAAGGCCCTACCTCCCCAAATAGCATCATGGGTTGGGGACCAGCATTTAAACAGTAAGCCTATGGCGGATATTTCATGTTAAAATAGTAACAGTGAGAAAGGAAGCTACTTTTCCCTGCTTGTACTTTTGGGGTTGGTTGGTTTCTGAGGTAAAATCAGTATACAATATAATACAAAGATTTTTACAGTTATGAGTACTGAAAGTTTTGCCTGATTTGAGGGACTGATAAAGTGCTTGCTTTACAAGCACACAGTCCTTGGGCCTGCAGGTCAGCTATCAGAGCAAGATAAAGAAGAGGGAAATCCTATTTCGTAAATTTAAAAATAAAAATGGGGGTGAGCTGTGAGATGACTCATTGGGCACTTACCACCAAGCCCAAATGACCTCAGTTCAGTCCTCAGGATGTACATGGTGGAAAGAGAGAAGTGATTTTTGCAAGTTGTCCTCTACTTCTACTTGTGCACCATGGTATACACACACACATCTGAAAGATGTTGATGAAGAGATGACTCCTTAAGTTCATTTGCCCTGCTCTGTGATTTTTGTGTTGTTTCCTTGAAACCTGCCTTTATGGGCTTAGCACCCAGCTGAATAGGCTGAAGAGATAAATGATTCCCCAGTGCCATGGGCTTGTTTCTGCAAGAGTAGTAGCTGGAGTACTACAGCTACTGTAGTACTGGGAATTGAGCCAGGTGTGGTAGTGAGGTGAGATATAAAGTTGAAGGCCAACCGGGGCTAAGAGCAAAAAAGAGTGAAAACAGCTGGGCATAGTGATACCTTTAATCCCAGCACTCAGAAGGCAGAGGCAGATGGACCTTTTGAGTTTGAGGCCAGCCTGGTCTACATAGAGTTCCAGGACAGCCAGGGCTTCAATAGAGAGATCCTGTGGGGGTGGAAGAGGAAAGCGGGGGAAGGAGGAGACATGATGGCAGAATTGTGCCAGGGCTTGGACCATCACCAATAGAAACTATCCTTACTATTCTGCAAATGGTGACAAATTCTAATTTCTGATAAAGATTTTCAAAAAGACGTCACTAGATTTGCTGCCATCATTCTTGAGTCATAACGTAGGAACTTGGGCACATCAGGTTTATGCGCTCTTGTCTTATAATGCCCTGAAGCTGGAGAGTTATGTCAGAAGTCTAATCCTCAGGCAGCCGCTTACACACTGTGACTTTGAAGCAGGTGCACACCTTGCCATCCTGGTCGAGCTGTGTATGTATTGTGCAGGTCCTGGAGTGGGCTCAGGAGAAGCGGAAGCTAAGTGTGTTACACATCCATGGGGTCTATACCAATCCTAGTGGCATTGTCCTCCACCCCGCTGGATATCAGAACGTGCTCAGGAACACTGAAGTTATGGTAAGTAGTACTGTTCTAGCTGGGCTCTGGAAGTTGCTCTTGCAGACATTTTAAAGCATATTCTAACTAGGTATTAAGAGAGAAACATTTACTTTTTAAAACTAGAGAGTCAGATCTTACTCCCTTGTCTTTTAGTGTTTGGATGTGTATGCTGTCCTGGGGAATGCAGAAACTTTATTTTAGGTCTCAGATCATAGGGTGAACAGCCAGCAGATTGCACTCCCTCATTGGCATCAGTTACATTTTGAGCATGATTATAAAAAAAGACTGTGTACTCACACCTGATTGTTTACTTGGAAAATTTGAAAAAGAAATTGATTAGGATGACAAAATGGAGGTTTTCTTCTTTGGGTTTGTTGACCTTTGGGGTTCGAGTTTTGAACTTGTTTGCATACATGTACATGTTTAAATAGAAACACTTCTTGGGTCCAGCTTACTGCTAGAGGTTTTCAGGACAAGGTCACATGGAGTCTTTACACAGTAGAGCCCAGAGAAAGACATGATGTTTTCTGAAGAGTATGGGCTTTATCCTTCCCTGTAACTTTGTCCATCATTGATATAGAGGCAGAATCATTTATGTGTGTGTGTGTGTGTGTGTGTATGTGTGTGTGTGTACGTACGTGTGCTATATGCACAAATAACATGCAAATGTATATACATGTGCACAGTGATGTTTGAAATAGTCAGACTTCCTTGACCATATCTAATGACATAATTATGTTCCTGATGATCAGTGGTTCCGTTTTAATGAAATAAAGAACAAAGTTGAGGGCTGGCAAGAAGGCTCAGTGGTTAAAGCCCTTGCCCCACAATGTGAAGCTTAGTTCTAGCCCTAGCACTGACATAGTGACAGTGGCATGCATCTGTAATCCCAAAACTTGGAAGGTGGAGACAGGAGTGGGGATACTCTGGGTCAGCTATCTAGTTAGAGTAGATGAATCTACATATTAGGGTTCAAATAAGAAACCTGCCTCACTATATAAGGTGGAGAGCAATGCAAAAAAATCCCAACATCAACTTCTAGCCTCCATGTAGTACCTGTAACATACATATACACTTACACACTCAAAATATAAATAAAAATTTAACATTGGCCAATTTTGTCCAGAAAGTGGTAAAGAGTTAAGACACATCAAATACCTACTGGTTGTTTAGTTATCCAAGAACATAAATCTAAAAACTAAAGCCTGCAAGACCAGTAGACTGGTGCCATTAGGGTGAAACTGTTTAAAGACCCTACAGAAGGACCAGGGAGATCACTCAGTGGGTTAAACACTTGTGCAAGCCTTGCAGTATGACTTCAGTCCCTGGAACCCATGTAAAGGTAGGAAGGAGAGAATGACTTCATACGTGTCCTCTGATCTCCACATGCATGAACACTCATGTGCATACACCATACACATAAAATAATACTGTGTTTAAAAATAAACAAAAATCCTTCAGAAGAATGTCAGGTAAAAAGTACAGTCTTAGACCAAGTATCACATTGTAATAACAACTAGGAAATCAAACTTTCTCGTGATATTTTTCTCTCTTAAATCTTGATCAGTGGGTCACTGCAGTCTGCTAGATGTAGTAGTTATGAACTATTGACATTTTGCTTCAGCCATATCTGTGTCTGTCTTCTGTGTCCCTAATATATTGTTTTCTTTTCTTTAAAGAGAGAGATTCAGAAGCTCTATGAAAACAAGTCATTTCTTTTCTTGGGTTGTGGCTGGACGGTGGATGACACCACTTTCCAGGCCCTGTTCCTAGAGGCTGTCAAGCATAAATCTGACCTAGAACATTTCATGCTTGTTCGGAGAGGTGATGTAGATGAGTTCAAGAAGCTTCGAGAAAACATGCTGGACAAGGGGATTAAGGTCATCTCCTATGGAAATGACTATGCTGATCTTCCAGAATATTTCAAGCGACTTACATGTGAGATCTCCACAAGAGGCAGATCAGGTAAGGGAAGGTCAAAGAGCAACAACCCTTTTTTTGTTTGTGATGAATTAAATCATTACTACGATGGGTAATGTATAGTGTCTGACCAGTTTGGGGGAAAAATGTTCATGCTAAAGTACCATTTTGATAATGGGAAAAGAGAAACATGTAAAAGTTTTTATCTTCAGGCTAGCTTTCCTCAGCAGGAAAAAGCAGTTGCATATTAAGCCTGACTACGTGAATTGAGTCTGTTAACCTACTGTGGAAAAGAACCTACTTTCAACACATGCTGTGGGATATTCATGCCCCATACATGTATCACACATATACTAAATCTTTGAGGGGCTGGAGTGATGGCTTGTTGTTAAGAGCACTTCCTGTTCTTCCAGAAGACAAAAGTTCAGTTCCAGCAACCATATCAGGAGGCTCACATGTTCTGTAACTCCAGTTCCAGATCTTAAGTTCTCTTCTGGCCTACCTGAGCAGGGACGCATTCACGCGTGCACCCATACACACTTTTTTTTTTTATGTGTATGAGTACATTTTAATGTATACTTTATATATATGACTGCATATACACCTGCATGTCAGAAGAGGGCATCAGACCCAGGTATAGATGGTTGTGAGCCACCATGTGGGTGCTGGGAATTGAACTCAAGAACTCTAGTTAGAGCAGATAGTGTGTTTAACCACTGAGCCACCTCTCCAACCCCCCCATCTTAAAAAATTTTTTTGAAGATGCCTAGTTCAAATGAGATACAATTAAAATTCAGATTTCAAAATGAAGATAAATAACCATTAAGCCTTGGCTAAGTTTATGAGGAATTTTTTTTTTCATGTATATATCAAATACTTCAAAGTTGTTTGCTTCAGAAGTTTTACTGATATAATTTATCCTCTAAGAAACTTTTCCTAAAGAAATGTGGTTACACATACAGTTAATTTAAAAATGTAAGTGTGACCAGTTATGGTGCTACATAACTATAATATCAGCACTCAGAAGACTAAGGCTGGAGGATCAAAAGGTCAGGGCCAGCCCAGGCAACATATCAAGCTTCCAGCTTAGGAAAAACAACAACAAAAACAACTTGGGGCTCAGGGGGAAATAAAGCCAGGTCTTGGGTATGGTCATCTCTCTCACAAACCAGGTTCTAAAGAAATTTTTTTGTTACAGACTATTGTTAAAGAACCTGGTTTTGTTGGTTATTTTATGTTGGTGGTTTTGGAGGGAGTGGTTTTCTCTTGATTTTAGTTTTTGTTTTGTTTGAGACAGGGATTCACTATGTAGCTTTTTGGCCTAGAACTTACTGTGTAGACCAGGCTATCTTCAAACTCAGAACTACTTACCTCTGCCTCCCTAATACTGGCTTTGAACTCACTATGTAGTCCAGATTGACCTCAAACTTTGAATCCTCCTGTCTCAACTTCACAAGTATAGTGATTACAAATACATACCCACTATGCCTCGGTTGCTTCAAAATTTTTTCATGGTCATTGGTGTTTTGCCTACATGTATGTCTAAGTCCTGGAACTGGAGTTATAGACAGTTTTGAGCCACCATGTGGGTGCTGGGAATTGAACCCAGGTACTCTGGAAGAGCAGCCAGTGCTCTTAACTGCTGAGCCATCTTTCCAGCCCTACTTCAAACTTTCTAATGAATATTTTTATTATCAATTTGAATGTATTTTAGACAACACATTAAAATACAAGTAACCGAGTATGTAATGTCCCTAAATCTAGTAATTCCAAGATTTCTTTTTTAAATTAGATGACCCCAAGTAGAATTCTAATGTAGTATAAATTTCTTGTGAGTTCTGTCACGACGGTGCTTTGATAGAGCAAGATTTTTTTTAAAGATTTATTCATTTATCTTATTTATATGAATGCTCTATTTGCATGTACACCTGCACACCAGAAGAGTGTATCAGATCACAGTATGGATGGTTGTAAGCCACCAGGTGGTTGCTGAGAACTTAACTCAGGACCTCTGGAAGAGCAGACAGTGCTCTTAACTGCTGAGCCATTTCTCTAGCCCCTAGAGTAAGATTTTTAAAAGCTATTGTGCTAAACATGGTGGTTTGTCCTTGTAATCCTAGCACTTGCATGGCTGAAGCAGGTTTGTTCAGAGTTCTAGGCTACAAGTAGACTTTTGTCTTTTATTTAAAATGTTGTCACTGTAACTGAACACTGAAGGTATCGTATTCTTCCTCCTCCTCCCCAAAGGCTTAGAAAACACTTAGAAAAACAACACTTTGTCTTTTGTAAAATGATCTGCCATCTTTTTCTTGAGGACCGTTTTTCTGGTGTCCCAACAGATGTTTAGGTTGATGTCTGCCACACTGACTTTTTTCTGTTGTATGTGCTCTGATTACTTTAAACTAGACATACACTCAAGCTCTACACAGTTGATTTGATCTATACTGAGATCCTCTACCAGGAAAAATCTGGACAACAGTGCCTTCTGTTATAGTCAGTTCTAGGTTAACATCCTAAATTTGTGGAGTGGTATAGATAGTTACTAGCTATCAGGACCTCTAAGATGGCTTTCCACATTTGCCAGTGAAGAAGCCATTCTATTTTTAAAATCAAGGGTTTTCCATATGTGGTCATGGACTCTTTATTGGAATAGCCTGGCAGGTAACATCCAGTTTTACTTTATTTTGAGAGGAGTCAAGCCTGTCTTCCATCTGTTATGCCTTAAGTCTCTCAGTCTATACAGGCTGCCAAGAAGCCATCAAGGAAAATTTAAATAAATAAATAAATAAATAAATAAATAAATAAATAAGTAAATAATACGGCATTACTATACCAGAAACTATTTTAGTATAACTATTACTTAAGTAACTGATTTAACCAACACCAATTTAACCAAATAATTGATTCCTGATTTAACCAGTGCAGAACAAAGCTTAGTCTTGTGCACCTTTTTAAAAAACATAGGGTTTTACTCTATGCTCTATATTTGCTTGAAAATAGCTGTGTAACCCAGACTGGCCTTAAACTCACGATCCATATCCTCACCCTCTAAGAGTTTATAGACATGCATCACCATGCCCTGCTTTGTATTTATTGGTACATATATATTGACACGAAATACAGCTAGTGAGACGAAGGTAGAAATTTTAATTCAAATTAGCTATTATGTGTCCAGGACACAGAGAAACCCTGCCTCAGGAAAAAAAAAATGAAATAAAAGTTTTGTTGACAAGCAGTCTTACTGGACAAAGTAGTAAACACCTAGACTACTAGGGAGGCTAAAGCTTAAAAGGATCTGGAGCTAAAGTCTAACATGGCAATGCAGATCCATTCAAATAAACAAAAGCCAATCTTAGTGTAATAAGGAACGTATTGCTTAACATGGCAGTCTGAAGGTTACCCGTGCCTCATCTTGTGTCATTCCTAAATGTAATCTTTATACACTGTGCCTTTAGCTTCCCTTAGTTTTCATTTCTGCTATTAATAGTTTTAGTTTTCCCAGGGGCTGCCAAGCATGACGACCTGAGTTCTATTCCTGCAGTCCACATAGTGGAGAGAACCAATGCGTAGTTTTCCCAACTTTACCACAAGTACATTAAAATATTTAAAAACAAAAACTTTCAGCTTCTTTAACTAATGTCTATACCAACGTTTTTTTTAGCAGGGATGGCAAGAGAAGGCCAGCTAAATGGTTCATCTGCAGCACATGGTGAAATACGAGGTATACTACTTCCTATCAATCTGCAGAGGATTTTCCTAAAATTTTTAATTGTGAAGAATCATTATTTGCTTCTGTTTTGAGATTCTCTGAATATGCTCCTTCTGATGAAAATTTAGGATTTAAAACTTAGTGACTTAAGCACCTCCAGCTAAAGTTGCTTTGTGAACTTCATTGTCTTCCTTTTGTTTCTTCATAGGCTGTAGTACTTGAGCAAGCGGGAGAAATTTACCGTTAGACCACGCTGTGGGGCCTTCCTGTGGATGTGTTTAACAAGCAAACTTACAAGAACTCAGCACAACTCCCTGAAGTTGAAGCTTGGGGTAGAATAGGGGTGGCAATGTTGCACCTTCCCTTCATGCTGGCTGTTTCTTGATACTGCCTGGTCCATTTTAATACCCAGTGATATCAGGACCCAATACAGCCCCTACCTATCCCAACACTGGACATGCTTGTCTACACAGCAGACCAATGTGGTGGCTCCTGGCTATGGCTGCAGCTCTGCAGGACTTGGGGAGCAAGAAGTCATGGAGTCAGTGGGCTCTTGTTGCAGTTTTGTACTCTACTTGGTTTTTCAATTAAGCTTATGGCTTTTTTAAAACATGACTTGAAGCTCTAGTTTTCTAGATCTTTTACAGTGTACAGTATTTTACATAACTGAGCTGTATTAAAAGCTTGTTCGTTTACTTGCCAGGGCTCTGGCTCTACTTTGAAGAGTTACTATCAAGCTTGAAACTTGCATTCTATTTTCTTCTTAGGTGGGCTGATTTTTCTCAGGACAAGTACTTAACGAATTCCTTAGAGCACTACTAATTCTTATTATGCCCTTCTTACCAAGAAAACCAAAAACTATATAGCTAGTATGAGTTAGCATTTTAGTTTTAAATCTTATATAAAATAATAAAACCTAAGAGGCAATTTCTTTATGAAATTTATTTTTATATATAAATTATGTATTTCTCTGGGCAGACAGCCTTCACCTTATTATTGCACTAGTAGCACATCAGTAATACCAAACTACAGGACAAGTCTTAACAAGAGGTTTGTGTTCTTCAACGTAGCACTTGTCTACCAGGCACTGTAGAAGAGGATGAGGAAAAAAGCCAGGACCTGTTCAGGAGGCCAAGGGTTGGGTTGGGTGGGGAATGGGACAACGGTAACCCCTCTGGCAACTGGTTTTCTCCCAGGAAGGTAAACATGCAAAGCTTACATCTGGATTCTGGGAGCAGGGAAAAGTTGGAAGGCAACTCAGCTCCCTTTGTCTCTGAGAGAATTGGGCACTCACCATTCATTTGTAACAAAACCTAACTGATGCTTTGGAGCAACAATCAGGTATAGCATTCATCACCAGATTTAGAATTAGCAGCAATTAAGAACAGGCCACCATCCCTGCCACAGTGAAGTGGCTGTCGTCCTGGCACCAGGGACCTGAAAGCTGTATTCTAGAGAGAGGTGCCATTAGACCCAGAGCTGGCTCTGGAAATAACTCTATTGAGTTGGGACCACAAACTGTTCGTCATCTTAGATGGCTCTGTGACCACACTAGCAATACTCCAGGTGTTGGGTTTTCCAACCAGTGGTCAGAGCTATATGATACTGAGTCTGTAGGCAGAATGAAGGGGATGCCTGAGTAGGAACAGGGAGGGTCATCGGGCAATGATTGTAACATGATTAGGCCCTCCTTGAAGGAGGAGGTAGGGCTGAACAAGGAGTAGGGTTAGGAGGAGCTGTAAGTCTCCAAAGCTCCCCTCACTCTGCCTTTGTACTACACTGAAGACAAGTTGCTCACACACTCTAAAGCACATTCTTGATATAGGAAAAGGGACTTGGGGCAAGCGGCGATTTGGTATTAGGCAAAAGCCACATTAAGCCTTCATGAGGGCAGCCACCACAGCCTTGGCGTTGAGACTGCGTAGGTCACAGTAGGTCTGGCCAGTGCCCACAAAGACAATGGGTTTGCTTGTGATGTATGTCATAGAAATAGCAGCTCCCACCTGAAAAAGAGAAAGAAGATAGCCAATCAGCTCAAGCCCTATTTTCACTAAATGCCTCAGCTTCCTTGTAAAGAAGCCCAATTCTCCCTCTGGTCTCATTCTCCAGTGTCGTGTACTTTTACCTTGTCATCAATGGTGTCAAATTTGGTAAGAACGATGCCATCAATGAGCCGAGGTGTTTGAGCCATAGAATGGTCAGCCAAGGCTCTGTTGAACTTGACCTAAAAAGGGAAAAGGTAATATAAGAACCCATCTAGTTTGCCAAAGTTAAGTTGGGAGGGAACTTGGCCCAAAGCCTCACCAGCTGATCCACGGCTTCATTGCCTACTAAGGCCTCCCCTACAAACAGCACCAAGTCAGGTGTATTGACAGTAATGAGTTTGGCCAGGGCAGTCATCAAGGGGGCATTGTCTTGCATGCGGCCAGCTGTGTCCACCAGCACCACATCAAAGCCTTGGTTACGTGCTAGAGAAAAAAACAGTCAACTCCAAGCACACAACTGTCACTCATTCTACCCGCAGACTTTTGAAGATGTCCTACTCTGTGTGAAAAGCCACCCAACTGTCACTTGTGCTCACTGCCAGCTTCCTGAGATGTCCAAGTCTGACTAATTGAAAAGCCTATCCTATTTACTTATCCAGACTCTGGATCTGGTTACAAGGTAATGTAAGGGAAAACCTGACCAATATATTCTTGGCCACTACCAACACCATTCAGGGAAAGGATAGGTAGGATAAACGTGACCATGTTCAGGTCTGTGGTATATAGTTGCTTTTCCTTTCAACTATATACATTACCACCCAAAAACATCACCCACACAAGTAACTTAACCTGACTTCTCTGGTAACCATGTGGTAAGTTTATAGTAGCCTAAGTCTGTACAAATTCCCAGGGAGTACAAGGAAAAGGACACCACAAGCCCCCTTGGTCCCCATATACTGTACCAAAGGCAATGGCTTCCATGGCAATGCCGGCAGCATCCTTGCCATAGCCTTTTTCAAACAACTGCACCATCGTACGGCCACCATGTTTCTCAGGGGGGTGGAGGGCAGTCAGACGCCGGGTATGTGTGCGAAGCTGCTCAACAGCCCCAGCCCGAAATGTATCACAGGCAGCAATGAGGACACTGAAGCCATTCTCTAAGAGCCAGAAGGAAATCTGCAAAAAGTTAACCAGAAACAACAAAAAAAATCACATAGAACCAGGATTCTAAAGCACAGAGTGAAAAAGTAAAAGCAAGCTGGGAACCGAGTTAACCTTGGCAAGATTAGTAGACTTCCCCACTCCATTAACACCACAGAAGGTGACAACATAAGGGCGCTGGCGACGTTGGGCATCCATGATATCTCGCAGCATGTCTACACGACGCTGTGGCTGCAGAATCTGCACCAGAGACTCCTGTAGTGCTTGCTTGACTGTGGAAGTCACAGCTTAAAAGGAAGTTGGAGGGATTCAGTCAGATAAATATCATACAGAATAACATTTTTCTGATCTAATGGGATTAAGACCATGCTAGGTTTTTTCCCAGGAATTCAGATTATACTGTTCTAGTACTTTATTAGCTCATTTAACTATCTTGTTAAATCCTAAAGTCTGTTATCTCATAGACGTTTAGGAATTAAGGTATTTGCCAAAAAGCAAATACCCAAACCATCTGACTATCACCTGAAACGCATGTGAACTCTGTGATGTGTGGAGGATACTTACTGCTAAATGTCCCCATCACTTTTCCTTCCAATTTGTTGGCAACAGATTCACAGAGCTGGACAGCAATATCTGCAGCCACATTCTTAGCTGCGAAGAGACAGACAGCTTTGGGTTCTGTGTTAACAGCGATCAGTTTTCAAAAGTACAGCTTAGAAATGTTTCTATTCCTAATGAACTATGCCACCTAAGTCAGCCCAGTCCTCCATACTCACCAATGAGATGATCACGCATCTTCTCTAGCACAGATTCCATGTCTTCACGACTCAGGCTCTTGGAACCCACAAGGCCCTTCAGCATCCCAAACATGCCACCCAGAGTTCCCTTGGTAGCACTACAAGTATAAAAGGTCACAAATATGCATAAGACCAGCAGGCAGGAGGTATGGCTCATCAATTCTGCAGCCATCCACACCACCTCCCACTTGAAATCCTTCTACCTAGGTTTGGTGTTTTGAGTGGCCCCTTCATCATCTGAGCTGCTGCAATCCAGATCTTGAAGCTGCCCCCCAGGCCCAGTTCCTCGAATCTGGAGGACATGGGCAAAGGAAGGAAATGGGATCAGGAACACTAACAGCTGAGGGAAAGAGCCCAGGACGGACCCTGGCAACATTATCTGAGACCTTGGAGAAACTCCCAAAATATAGTTCACTCTCAAATCCAGGTGTACCCTCCACCTCTTATTTCCTTCCCAATTTCTGGTTAATGGTGACTTTTGCTCTGATCTTTATTCCTCTTACCAAGTTAATATCTTCAGACAGGGCTGCCTCTGGGGTTCCATTGGTGGTGGGAGTACTGTAATCCAAGACTTCCTTGTTAGCACAGCCACCTAGTTCCCACACCCGGGGTGCTTTTTTGCCCTTCTCTTTTGGAATATCCGACTTTGAAGATTTGCTGCAAAGGAGCACATTATAAAAGATTGTAGTAGAAAAGTAGGAAAGAACATGAGAAGAGTTTCCTAGCCCCTACTACAACTGGGTAACAGTCTCCAGAGAGACTGGTTAAGAGTGTTCACCTGGATTTGTCCAGACCCTTCCCATGCTTCTGAATGAACTCCTCTCTCTTCCTGCGTATCAGCTCCTCTTTGGAAAGTTCTCCATTTTCAGGTACCACTGGGAGACCCGACTTTTCTGCAGGGGCTGTTTTGCTGGTAGCCAAATGGCCATCAGAACCTGTTAAAAGAAAACTCACTGGAGTGGGGAAAAAAAAACACAAATCCCAGCCACCCAGATAATGACTACAATTCTTCCAAATTCTTAAGAACAAACTGGAACCAAACACCTTGGAGACCACAAGGGTATGACTGGGTAGTGAGCATTTAGGTTAAGGGAGGCAAGCAATGACAGAAAAAGCACCACAGACCTTTAGAGCACCTTAACACTTTATGCCCTAGCATATTCAGGATGCTCAAACACACCTTCCTTTTTGGCCCCCTTTTTTTTGTTGTTTTTTGTTTTTTCCTTGGTCTTTTCCCGTGTTTCGATCATGGACCTCACAGGTTTCTTAGCTTTTTCAGAATCTTCAAATTTCTTCATGGTAGTGGGAGCACGGATCTTACTGCTCTCCTCTGCTTCACTAAAGAGAAAAAAAAAGAATAGTCTTTCTACCCATGTAATAGGAAAAAACCAACTGACTTCAGAAAAACGTCCCACATATCAAAAAGGACATCCAGAAATGAGCTGCAAATGTGACATGTTTGAACCCACAACAATATTATTCAGCCACCTGTAGGCAAGGCACTCATCAAATCATGAAAAAAAAAATTTTTTTTTTTAAAAAGGGAAGCCTCTCACCGAAGGAGACGCAGGAAGTCATTTTGAAAGTCAAAAGTGCCATTCAATAGACTTAAAGCACTTTGTTGTTGGATCTCTGTGCGGTATTTATCCCGAAACAGCCGGTGCACATCATCTATCAATTTGTCTACATAGGTCAGTGTGAGGATCTTCTGAAAGCCAACCTGTTTATGGAAGGAAACAGGGCCAACAGATCACCTTACATGTCAGTCCAGAATGGAAGGAGCCAACGCAATCCAGGCCTCCAGAGATAAGTTTCCCATCCTGAGATAGCCACACTTTCTACCTTGCCCAGGAAATGCTTCCATTCTCTCCTCTACATTCCAAAAGTTTATTACTTCTTCACATACACAGTACAATTAATTGGGTTTATCAATGGGGATTCTGTTGAGAACATAACTTGTCTAACACAGCCTCCACTTACCACAAACACCAGCTCAAACTGGTTGTCCAGTTTATACTTGAGGGTGAGGGCCTCATGAGTGAAAGAGTTGTTACCTCCCCGTTCCTGAAAAAAGAGCGTTTCAGCACTGAGGTTATCCACAGCAAAACCAGACTTTGGACTATGTTTGGTAAATAACCAGACATTATCCTGGCCTCAGCAAGGGAGTAGAGACATTTCTCTCTAGCAGCCCGGCACGAGGAAAAAGAAAAAAGACACCAATTAAGAGAAAGGGGGTAAATGTGAGAGAGAAGGCATGGCTCGTGGGAGCCAGAATGTAAACAATCATATAAAAACAATCACATCTTCTAGCAGCTGTGAAACATTTAGTGTTCCTAAAAGGTGTTCTCTAACCCAAGGTCTCATCCAGCCTCAAAACGACAGAAAACCAAGCTGTCCCGAATGAGTGGAGAGAGTGATCAAGTCCCGTAAGATGCCGGAATACGAGTAGAGCCCCAGATTCGGGAAGTATGGGGGGCGTCGCAAAGTTTCGGAATACTATGATGCCAGGCAAGGAAGTTGAGTCTGGGTGGCCGGTAAGCGGGTAAGGAGGGCTTGGCAGAAGGCGTAGGTGATTACTGGAAGGGAGACTACAAACTGGGTCTGAGGGGCAGTCCGGAGTTCTGCCCCGCGGGGGTGGTACCTGCAGCAGTACGGAACGAATCAACGCGTTCACGGGCCCGGTGCACGAGTCGCTCACGCCCTGGAAACACCAGAGCACAAGCCCGCCCTTCGAGAAGATGGTGAAGAAGTCGAGCATGATGGGAGGTGGAGAAGACTTGGGGCCGAGTCCGGCGCCGGGAACTCGGGCCGCGTCCGCCGCCGCTTCCTGCTGCGCCAAGCGCGGGACACGTCACACCAGCAGCCCCCGGAAACCGGCTCATCCGCACTTCCGCTACGGGCCGCCGGGTCCCGCCCCCTCCCCGCCCAGGGCGCGCGGGATGACGTAAGCAAGACTGGCCAATAGCAGGTGTGGGCGGGGCTCCCGGGGCGCTAGCTCCCTATAGCTTGGAGGGGTGGGGCCTTGCCGGCTAATCGGCGCATCGCGTCAATTCCCTGTGGCGCGGGCCGATGACTAGAAAGACAGACAGACGGCCTCAGCGGCTCCTCAGGCTGCCAGAAGCCGGGTGCTGTAAGGCTATGTTTCGCAGAGTGCTGCGTCTTGGCTTGGGCCCGGTCCTCCCAAACCGGGGGCTACGCACACGCAGAGGAGGCTTTACTCTGGGTAAAGCTGAGGGCAGGAGGAGTATACTATAATGGTTCTTGGGTGCCCAAAATCTCCACATATGTTGACCTTTGCGATTCGACACCCTGCCTCATGCTGGCGGCACTGCGAATTAGCGAGGGAAAGGGGTAGGCTTGCCTGCTAGAGGTTAAAGAGCCAAGGCAGGTGTATGAATCTCAAGGAGGCACTTCCCAGTGGACAATTCCATATAAATGGAAACTTGCTGGTGGTAATGGATATTAAGGATAAGGAACCATATAGAGGTGCAGGATGGAGTATACTAAAGATTCGTGTTCCTTGGGCCTGGGAAACTTGAATGGAGATAACTGTGCAGTTGAATAAGAACGGGGCTCAGGAGGGAGAGAGGTCTGATGGAAGTAAATGTAAGTCACTTACCTTGTCGGAGAAATAGAAAGTGTAATTTTAGGAAATGGATCTTTCAGTACTACAGAAGATTCATAATAGTGGGGACTGATGCGGCAAAGTTAGGACAGTCCTTCGTGTGAGTTGATCTTATGAGAAAGGATGACATTGGAGACGTGCCAACCGCATATGTCTACTCAGCTAACCTTTTCCTGTGCTCATCCTCCGACCCCACACCAGGAGGAAAGGAAACATAGTCCATCTAACTGTAACTATGTCCTGCAGACTGGGATGCAAAAGTGTCTGAGTTTAAGAAGAAGATTGATTCCATCCTGCCTGGAAAGCAATTGGAAATGATGTATGACACCAGCCACCTGCCCCCAGAACAGTCAGATGTGGTCATCATAGGAGGCGGGATCCTTGGTCTGTCTGTGGCCTTTTGGCTGAAGAAGCTGGAGAGTAGAAGAGATGCCATTCGGGTGCTGGTGGTGGAACAGGACCACACGGTGAGGTCAGGGAGTAGGGTAGTCATCTTATTGAGGACAGCCTGTAGAAGCCAGAAGGGTAGGGAGTATGCTTTGGACTTTGGAGCTTGAGAAATAGTCCCAGGTTCTTCCTCCTTCAAAGAAGACCCTTGACAATAACATAGTTTTGTTGGGGGAGGGAAGGAGGCCTTGTCATAATTGTTTAATGTCTTTGGAAACAGGGTCTTAATATATAGCCGAGGCTGGCTTCGAACTCAGCATCTTTCTGTCTCAGCCTCCCAGGTGCTGGGATTACTAGTGTGCTCCAGCACATTTGCCTAGAATTTTATAGTAGCAGATTCTACAGTGATTGTACTTGTTTGTTTGCTATTGGCAGTTAGCTGAAATCTCATGTCTGTCATCATTATATCCTTCCACTTTCATAAGTTGTTGAAAGTAAACTTCCTACCTTTGGACTTCCAATATGTCCAGCCTTATAAAGATGATTGACCTCGTGCTCAGTTTGTCTGATGATTTAAAACACTATGTTTATCTTTGAGCTGTGGGCTGACTTGCATATAGGTTTACCCATTCTTGCTCCTTGAAAAAAAGGATTCCCCTTTAGGTTTAGATGTATAACTGACAGTTTCCACTGTAGGATTCCATTATGTATGACATCATGACAGTCTACCTCAGTTTTTCTTTTCACAGTATTCACGAGCTTCCTCCACGGGGCCTTCCGTGGGTGGGATTTGGCAGCAGTTTTCTATGCCTGAGAATGTCCAACTGTCCCTCTTTTCAATCAACTTTCTACGGAACATAAATGTATGTACAGTAAGATTTGAAGGCCTGGGGTGGAGGCCCCTTCTTTAGCATAAAGAACAGTGGCCTATACTTGGCAAGGAGAACCAAGAAGTAGTGTGTTGGAGGCAACAGGCATTGTGATCCTTGACTTCCAACCTTCCAGTGTTGGTGCCTAGGGAAGGCTTTGTCCTGATCTGGGCCACTGACCCTGGGGGCTGTACTAAGAATGCTTGGGGGGGGGGGGCTCCTCCTTTATGTCAGCCTCTTTGGAGAACAGGTTTTCTTTGCACATAGGAGTACTTGGCTGTGGTAGATGCCCCTCCTGTGGACCTTCGGTTCAACCCCTCAGGCTGTCTCTTGCTAGCTTCAGAAAAGGATGCTGCCACCTTGGAAAACAATGTGAAAATGCAAAGGTAGGTGCCCTGTGCTGCTTTTTTTGCTTCACATACTTGGTGAGCTCCTGTACCAGATTAGGAATGGGGAAGCTGAAGTTGATGCCACAGGAATCTCCTCTTCAGTAGCTTATATTATCAGGAAAGATGGGCCTATTCAAACCTTCAAGGCCCAATGAGGAGTGTTATAACCCAGTCATGGACAGAATATGGTTCCTGTACTTAGCAAATCATAACACCCAGGTAAGATACCTCCCAGATCTAGCAAACCAGAGTCTCTAGGGAGTGGCCAAGAGACTGAGCTTCTTCTAACAAGAATCCTAATTTAGGAGTCGGCAAAGTTCTTTCCATAAAAGGCCAGACAGTAAATATTTTAGGTTTTGCTTGTTATTTTGTCTCTGTTACAATCTTTCTGTTCTGTCATTGTAGGACAAAAGTAGCCACAGACAAAAAATGCAATTTTGATGTGATCCATATATAAAAGTAGGCAGCAGGTTGGCTTTAGCATGTGAGCCTTACATCAGTTAATGATTGGGCATCTTTGTGATCTGTTATACGCAGGCTCTCTTCTGATATGCTGTAAATCTAACTAATGACACCAGATAAATGTTGATAACTCATTTAATCAGAACATCCCATTTTACATGTGAGGAAACTAAGGCAAGAAGATCTAGTAAAGGTGGCATTGTGACCCAGTTTAAACTAGACACAGGCTCCTAGGAGTGTTTCTTAGCACTTTCATTCCCCAGCCAGTAAATGTTCCAGAGGAGACACTCATTCTGTGGGATAGGGTTTTACTAAGCATCAGAGAAGAAAGTGTTTTACAGATGTCAGTGGAACATGGTTCCCCACCATGTTGTGAACTGAGGTGGAGTAGATTGGGGCAAGAAGGAATTGAGAGTACTGAAGGGAGACAGAAGTGTAGAAAAGGAAAACTGGGACTTTACATTCAGCAGTCAGGATACATGGGGTCACTGGGCAGAGCAGAGCTATGAGTGAGCAATAATTCCCTCTCATGGAGTCTGGGTCCATGTTCTCCCCTCTAAATACTCTCCCTAACACATTAACTGAGATGCACACATTTCTTTTAGGGAGGAAGGAGCCAAAGTCTGTCTGATGTCTCCTGAGCAGCTGAAGAACAAGTTTCCCTGGATAAATGTGGAAGGAGTGGCTCTGGCATCTTATGGTGAGGCTCACCTGCAGGGCACGTGGTCCACTTTCCCTGACGATGGGGATTGAAGAGCTCTGTGGGTTGAAAGTCTCAGTGCTTGATCTTCATACTGAGGGAGGACCACTTTCCTCATGAGCAACAGGGCCTGCCCCAGACCATGCTGCTTCTCTGGCCTTTAACATGACTGGACTCCCCTAATACAGTTAGTCAGGATGATCGTCCCTGCTTCTAAAGCTCAAAGAAGTGTATGAGGTCTACAGTAGGAAAAGGAGGGCCCCCATGCTTCATGAGTTTCCTTTCTTATGTCAGGGTTGGAGGACGAAGGTTGGTTTGATGCCTGGTCTCTGCTCCATGGTCTTCGTCGAAAGGTCCAGTCAATGGGAGTCTTTTTCTGTCAAGGAGAGGTGACGCGTGAGTCCAAAGTCTTGTTCCCTCTATGTCTTGCACCCAGGACAAGGCCTAGACCAGGCTCTGCCTATTTGTTCACAGGCTCACCCGGGGTTGGTGTGAGAGGCCATGTTCTGCTAAGCAGCTCAGCTTTCTCCTTACTACAGTGCCCTGTTCTTTGGTAGCTAGTTGATTTTAGTCTTTTCCCTTGGGTGTCTATCAGAAAGCATTCATCCTTCCCATGTTCTTTCTGTGAGAAGCCAGTAGTGGTTGTGAATCCAGGGATGTAGCTGTTAGAATGCTTGCCTAGCATGTATGAAGCCCTAAGATCCACTCCCCCCACTCCTGGGTTTAAGCCCCAGAATCACATAAAATGGGCACAGTGGTACATGCCTATAATCCCAGAACTCTAGAAGTACAGGCAGGAGAATCAGAAGTTCAGGGTTATCTTCCACTACATAGCAAGTCTGAGGCCATTCTGTGGTACAAGGGACCCTTTCTCAAAAGAACCCAGTTTTCCCAGAACACCGTTTTCCTCAAGGGTTTGTGTGTGTGTGTGTGTGTGTGTGCATGTGCCTAAGTATGTGTCTGTTCTATTAAGAGACACTATGACTAAGGCAACTCTTATGCAAGAAGGAATTTAATTAGGGGCTTGCTTACAACTTCAGAGGGTTAGTCCATCATCATTATGGTGGGGAGCATGGTGGCAAGGAGGGAGGCATGGTGCTGGAAAAGTAGCCAAGAGCTATATCCTGATCCACAGGCAGCAGGCAGAGAGAAAGAGAGACAGACAGACAGACAGTGGGCCAAGTGTGGATTTTTGAAACCTGAAAACCCATCCCTAGTGACATACCTCATTCAACAAGGACACACCTCCTAACCCTTCCTAATCTTCCCCACACCTCCTAATCCTTCCCAAACAGTTCATCAACTAGGGATTAAGCATGCAAATATATGAACCTACAGGGCCGTTCTCATTCAAACCACCATTTTGGTTTGAGTGTGTGTATTGATGGGAACACTGGGCTAGAACCCAGGGTCTTATGCATATTAAGCATATACTGTACCACTGAACTAACCCTTTCTGAAATTTTTAATTTCTTTCTGCAGGTTTCATCACTTCATCTAACCAAGCAGAGACCCCAAGTGGGGAAAAGGTAGTCTTGAGAAGGATCCACAATGTCCATGTAAGTTCCGAGTTCCAGTGTACTACTTACTACAGTGGAGGGCAAGAAGGCTGATATTCTGCCCAGATGTAGGTCTTCTGCCTGCTTCCCGGTACTGATCAAGTTAGACTCTGGAGGAAATCAACCTCTCAGGGTCCATTGCGTGCCTTCCACCCCCTGCTCCCCATACCCCAGCTTCCTTTCTCTTACCCTCTGTTACCTCCAGGTGAAAATGGACAAGAGCCTGGAGTATCAGCCAGTGGAGTGTGCTGTAGTGATCAATGCTGCAGGAGCCTGGTCTGGGAAAATTGCAGAGCTGGCTGGTATTGGGAAGGGACTTCCTGGTACCCTCCAGGGCACCAAGCTACCTGTAGAGCCAAGGAAAAGGTAGCTACCCTCAGGGCAGCTAAGGACGAGAAAGAAATGATGCAAAAGTTTAAGATATATTTGTGCATGTGGTCTGGGCAGAGGGTTGGTGTGTGTTATTCCTGCAGTGCCATAACTCCCCTGATCATGACAGGTATGTGCACTTATGGCACTGCCCGCAGGGACCAGGTCTGGAGACACCCTTGGTTGCAGACATCAATGGAGTCTATTTCCGACGGGAAGGATTGGGCTGCAACTATCTAGGTGGCTGTAGCCCTACTGAGGTAAATTAAGTTGCAAGGAGACATAGACAAGATGCCATTAAAGAGGCAAGCCTTTTGGGAGGGAGGGGGCTATGTTGTCATTGGGTTTAGATTTTGAATCCACTGAAGAGATTGATTATAGGAAGAAGATTTTGGTTTGCCCTTATATTCCAAGCAGTATATAAACTTCGTCTCCACCTCTCACTTAGGAGGAAGAACCAGACCCAGCAAATTTGGAAGTGGACCATGATTTCTTCCAGAACAAAGTGTGGCCCCATTTGGTCCAAAGGGTGCCATCTTTTAAGAATCTGAAGGTAACTAACAGGGAATGATTATTCCTGCTAGGATTTGAGTATCAAATAGGATGGATGATACAAGAGCCTCTTCCTTCCTTTGACCTGTCGTGCTCCCTCCACCTAACAATTGCTAAGGAACCTATTGGATCTGTCCCATCCCATGAACCCAAGGGTGTGGGTTGAGCATGTCTGTGGCTTTGCCAAGAACCTCAGCATCTTTTGCACCTGCAGGTACAGAGTGCCTGGGCTGGCTATTGTGACTACAACACTTTTGATCAGAATGGCGTGGTGGGCGCCCACCCACTAGTGGTCAACATGTATTTTGCTACGGGCTTCAGTGGTCGTGGGCTACAGCATGCACCTGGCATCGGTCGAGCTGTGGCAGAAGTGATACTAGAGGGCCACTTCAAGACCATCAACATGAGCTCCTTCCTCTTCAACCGCTTTTACTTAGGAGAGAAGTTACAGGAATATAGTATCCTCTGAATGTGACAACTCTTCTCTGGGCCTCACCAGCCCAGGCATCACCCTGTCTCACATTGGCTATGGTCACTGCCCAAGCCTCCCCATGACTATGCCAGAGCTACAGCCCTTTCCTCACCATCCTTTAAGCAGGGCCACTCTTCCTCAGTGTCTCTGGACATGGAATGAGCATAGGCACAGAGACCCAGGCCAATGGAAGGGCATGAAGTGGGACCCTAGGACTGATTGTAGCCTAGGCTGATGCCACTATCCAAAACAGTTTAGCTGGCATCCTGGGCATGGGGCCCAGGACTGGCCTCCTTCCTGGTGCTGATACAGAGAAATGAGTCTCTGACCTTCTGGCTAGAGCCAAGGCACAGAGCATTCTAGGACAGCCTGGCCCAAATTCATTGACTTGTCTATTAATCTTCAATCAATATATGTGATTAACCCCTTCATTCTGGTTTTATGTTCTTTCTACTTTTTTTTCTCATAGTAGAAGCATTGGAAGTGTGGTGTCATTGAAAAGGCAGCCTTATCAGCCAGGTGCAGTGGTGTACACCTGTAATACCAGCACTCGGGGAGGCAGAAGTGGACAGATCTCTGTGAGTTCGAGGCCATCCTGGTCTACAAAGCAAGTTCAGGACAGCCAATGCTACACAGAGAAACCCTGTTTGAGGGGAAAAAAAAGAAGAAAGGAATGAAGGAAAGAAAGAGAGTGGGAGAGAGAGAGAGAAAGAAGAAAGAGCGAAAAGAAAAGGCAGCCTCATCCTCTTGGGAGTGTTTCTTAGATCCTCTGTGGAAGGCATCTTCTCTGCAAGCTAGTATCCCATTCCCGAGTTCTGCAAGAACAATGGTTCTAGAGGAGAGAAATGGAATCATTTATCTAGTCAACTTTTATAAAGCCCCAGCTTCTAGCTACCATCATTCAGCCTATGGCAGAATTTGAAGTGGCATTCTGACTGGATCATGGAGCTTTGGAAAGAAAAGGAGCCAGGGTATGAAGAGCCACACTGAGAAGCTTGGATTTCATTTGGGCAGAAGCCTAGCAGAACAGTTTAAAATAGGGAAGCAACATGATCAGAGAGAGTTTAGAAATCTCTCTCTGGCTAAGGGTAGAGTGCTTGCTTAGCATGTGGATAGCCCTAGGTTTGATCCTCAGCACCAACACAAGTAGAGATCTGGGGGAAAGTAACTGGTTCTCTTGTAGAGAACAGATTCATCTAGCAAGGCGGGGAACAGATTCTAAATGAAGGGCATTTTGGTTCATTTTGTAGATAATAGTCATAAGAAACACATGGAGCAATGTGACAATGGCAACATGAAATGGAGTCAGTATTTCCGAGGTTTCTGGCTAAACAGCCAAATGGGAAGAACAGGAAAATGAATGAGTGGTCCAGTGGTACAAGCTGAAAGCAAAGTGTCTATGGAAGGTGTAATGGGTGATGGGACTGTTTGGGGTGGGCAATCTGGGTTGTAGACAGGTGATAGAACAGCATCATCAAAAAGCAAAGTGTTAGGGACAACACAGAAGAACTGGAGGGACACACTGATGTTTAAAGAAAATGGATGAATGCCAAAGAAGTGACCCATGAGGCAGGAGAAAATCCAGTAGTGTGCAATCATGAAAACCAAGAAGTAGGCACCAGAATGAAATGTCATATGCCAGCTGGGCTCAGCACCTAGCAGGTCAGTGGTGACCAGGGAATGTAATTTAAGGCACAGATGGTTACAGAAGAAAGTGAACTAGAGTAGAGCTTCCTGGGAAAATGGCTTCTTCATCCAAAGTCCTTTGCAGTGAATGAAAAGTAAAAGAAGTAGACATCATATAGGGGAGGGGAGGAGAGAGGAGATGGGTCAGCTGGAAGCCTATGTGTGGCTTGGAAAGAATCAGGCACAAGGTACAACAACAGAAAAGTCACCAGAAGGTGGCTGAAAGATTAGGGATTTGTCAGGAACATAGTGGACAGGCTTTGGTCACTAAAGAGACAGGCCAGAGAACTGGTTAAGCCTGGATGGTAGCTCTTCAGGTACCCCAGAGTTGACTTCAGCATAGCCATTAGTTTAAGGGTCCAAAGAAATAGATACTATAATTAATGCTTAAGGACTCCTACAGGACTTTTATTTTCTCATGGGAAATATTTTATGGGCAAATCATTGTATGTGTCTTGCCCTTTAAACTATGTGAAGGGCTGGACCAAGCCCTCATCTTTGCCCCCAAACCAGCAACCTCAGAGCTTGTCTTGTACTCTGAATGCCTATCTGAGCATTCCTGCTGGACCTTGAAGGTCCTTCCTGGTCCCAGAGGCTCCATACTGCAATGAGAGGTAGAGCCAAGACAAAGGGATTTCTGGAAAGAACTGGGGAGGAAGAATTAAGAAAGGCTTTCCTCAGGCAGACAAGATGGCTTGAAATGCCATTCAGGCCTGACAACTTAGTTTCAATCCCCAGAACCCAGGTAAAAAGGCATGGTATGGTTGCATATGTCTGAAATTCCAGGGTTCAGTATGTCAGGGAAAGTGGAGACGAGTTGCCTGGAAGCCGAAAAGCCAGCCAACTTGGAGTAGATAGCATAGTGAAAACAAAAGAAATCCTGTCTCAACAAAGTAGAAGAACCAACTCTGAAAAGTTTTCTTCTGACCTATACACATGCAATAAAAATGTTTAAATTTTGTTTGTGCCTGTGTGCTGTAGTGGAGGCCAGAAGGAGTGCGATCTCCCATTCTCCAAGCTGTAATCACAGGCAATTGTGAGCCACCTGATATGGGAAATCAACTAGAAGAGCAGTAGGTGTTCTTAACTGCGCTTTAGTCTCAGTTTCTTTTTTAGAAGGCTTTTCCGGTCAGGTAGAGTGGCCCAAGCCTATAGTCCCAGAACTTGGAGGCAGGAAGATCAGAAAAGTTCAAGGTCATTTTAATTACAAGTTTGAGATTAGTCTAGGCTATTGGAGACCCTATCTGAAAAAAAGAAAGAAAGAAAAAGGGAAGATAACCGGATGCAGAAATTAACCTGAACAATTTTGTACAAGAGAGGCATTTGTACAGGCACAGCTAAACAAAGGCAAAAGGGAGAGCAGAGATGTCCTCACCAAGGAGCAAAAGTATTCATCAAGTGTGGGCTTCTGGTAGGTGTCCAGCTGCCAGGGGTTGGGGGTAGGACGGTATGGGGATGGGACAGCTCTTTCCCTAAAGGAAATAAAAGATGATTTATTCTTGAGCCATACTTGACTATGGCCCAGGAACACAGATTTAGGTTACCCCAAGTTACATGTTTCAATGTGTTAGTAGCTCCACAAATTTTAAAATTTTACAGAACATAGTCATGAATCAAGCCAAGTTAAAAATACTTTGGTGGGTACATCAAAGAGGCAGTTACATCAAGATGGGGGACGATGTTATCTGATGATGTCCTTAGCTTTTGGGCAGGTACGGGTCTGTTCGAGGAATGCCTGGCTATTCAGGAGGCTAACGCTAGCTGAAATAACCTCTAGACAGGCAATAAATATTCCAACCACTCCACCTCGCTAGAATTCTAATCAGTCAATGGGTCTTTGCAGATACAGCTGCTTTCCAGGAATTCTTGTTGACAGTGCCTTCCTTATGAATATTCATCTCTTACGACACCAGCAACCAGAGAATGTAATTTTGATGAGTAAACCTAGAAAGATCATGCATGAACGGCCCCAGCATAAACTGCCTCCCTCAGAACAAGTTATCCATTTTGGCTGGCTGGAAAGAAAAAGAAATCAGACCAGAGGGCTAATAAGGCCTTATGCCAGCCCTTTAAACTCCTTCAACCTGCAGCATTTCATTTGTATTGTTTTTAGGTTGGTATTTTAATAACACTTCTATGGCAGGAAATGCTGAGTCCTGTATTATTTCCTGGGAGTTTCACAAAGCTCACAGCAAGAACTCTAGGAAGTAGAAGCAAAGGACTTAAGTATTTCATCAGGACTTGCCAACATCTTGCCTAGTCACCCTTTTCTGCAGTTATTTTGGTACCCTCAGAACTACAGTTGAAAATTCCAGTCGGAAGTCTCTGCCCTAAGGGCAAGCACTTTTGGCTAGACTGATTCCAGCCTGTGGGCGTCAACATTAGGATCCACCTCCCATGAAGGTACGACTTCCCAGGGGCTGGCCGGTCCTCATTGAATCTATTAATCTACCTTGAGAGATCTTCGCGGCGGGGGTTGAGGGGAGCCTCATTTTCCCCCACCGTACGGAAGAAGATGAGGCATGTGCCTCCTTGCTGGAGTTTTCCCCCTGTTCCCTTGCCCTTACAGAGGACAGACTCCGGCTCTGGGCTTCACCGGGGTCTTGAGGAGCTCTGGTGTACGGGTTCAGCCGCAGGTGTGGCCAGGCAAAGGGAAGCTGAGCGACGCGAGCGCCCCCTAGGGTCAGGACGGCGGGGCCTGGGCAGGAGGACGTCTGGTACGAGCGGGAGGGCGGCGGCCGTAGAGCTTCCGGGAGCCGGGGCGCGGACACTTCCCAGAGGAGCCTGCGGCCCACACCGCGGGGTCGCGCAGGTGAGCGGGCGGTGGGCGGCCCTTCCTCCCCTCGCATCTGCTCCCCTGCCCTTCTCCTTCCAATCCGGGGGTCCAGCACTCCTTCCGAAAGCCGCCACCTATCTGTGGCGCTGAGCGCAGGGCAGTTAGTCAGGCTGGGCTTCGGCAGTCTGGCCGCATCAGGTGGCTCTCTCTGGCTCCCCACAGTCTTTGCCCTGGTCACAACCTGGCCCCCGCTCTTGGGCTTAACTCTGTGAAGGTGTTCTACAAGAATGTCACTTTATTTAGGGTTAAGAACCTACTGGGTGTTGGTACCACAGTTATTTAATGGGCGTCCACTTGAGTCTAGGACTGTGCCAAAGAGAAACGGGGTGTAGGAACAATTCGGTCCTTCGGTCCACTGGTTGGCAGGTAAACTAGAAACACAAGTGCAACGAGAGAGGGAAGTAGGGAGTGCTCCAGATGACAGACCTACCGGGAATGACTCAGAGGAAGCCTTGTCTGCTTTGTTTTCAGACTTTAAAAGAACCAATACACAGCAAACATAGGGGAAAGTGCACAGAGCCCGAACCCCACCAACCCACATTTTACAGGCTTTCTTGTATAGCCTGCATCCAGTACAGTAAGTCTGTGTATATGTGTTGATGTATATTCTATCAAAAAGATGGACTGTGGACTGTCCATTTTACTGTACAAAACTTGATGGACATGGTTGTTTTCAGCTTTGGCCTCTTTTGAGTAGCGTGACATTTGTGTGTTTGCTCAGTTTGATTATAAAGCATGCAGCAGCTTTCCAAAATAGTTTGCTTGGGGCTAGGGCAAAGGCTCAGTGACTGCTTTCCCAGAGGGGCCTGGTTCCATCTCTGCACCCACATTGTGGCTCACAAACATCTGCCACTCCAGTACCAGAGGATCCAATGCTCTCTCTGGCTTCTACAGGCATGTGGCATGAAGAAGTGGTATATAAACATACACACAGGCAAAACTTCCATACATATAAACTAACATGTTTTAAGCTTTAAGAAGAAAGTTGTGCTTGCTGCTACCTTAGCAGTGTGACACCAGCAGTGAGTGGTGGAGATGAGAGGAGGTCAGGTCAGGGCCACCCTCTACTATGAGGTTCTTATCTCAAAACAAAGCCACCAAGCAAACAAAAGGCATACAGGTCACTCCCAGCTCAGTGTGCGTGCTCCCACCTTCATGTGAGATCAAGCTCCAGCCAGTGTCCTGCTCCCTGGAGCTGTTCTGCTGACTGCACAGCTTCGATGTCCCGATGTTTCAATTTGCATTTTTCTGAAGACTGGTAAACTGAGCGTCTTTTGGTCTGTTGGTCATTTGAATATCCTTTTTCTGTGAAATGACTGTTCAGGTCTTCTCTGTTTGTGTCTCTTAGCGATTTATGTGAGCTCTTGAAATGTTTTGGATTTAAGGCAGTTGTTAAATGCATATTTTTAAAATACTTTCTCTGTCTTGGTAGATTGCCTCCTCATTCTCCTAATGATATCTTTGAAGCAAGTCTTCATGTTAATATTTTCTAATTTATCATTTTCCCCTTATATAGATTGTATCCCATTTGATTTTTTGTTTTGTTTTGTTTTTGCCATACACAACAGTTCTTACCTGTACTCTCAGCACTCAGGGAGATTGCCATGAGTTTGAGACCAACCTGACCTACATACTAAGTTCTAGGCTAGCCTCTGAAGAGTGAAGAGTGAGACCATGTCTCAAAAAAATTTTTTTTCATCAGCTGGTCGTGGAGGTGCACATCTTTAATCTCAACATCTCAGTACTTGGAATGCAGAGGCAGGTAGATCTCTGACTTTAATGCTAGCCTGATCTACAGAGTGAGTTCCAGGAGAGCCAGGGCTATACAGAGAAACCCTATCTCAAAAGAAAAAAACAAAAACAACCTTTTTTTTTTTTTGCTTTGTCTGCTCCAAAGTCAGAAATTATGTCATATGGTTTTCTATAAGATCTTTATTGACTTGCTAGTCACAGATATCTCTAATATCCATTTAAAATTTAGTTTTCATGGTTTGAAATATATATATTGAGATTAATTTTCCCTACAACACTAAGTTGACTTAATACCGTGGACTGCAAAGACCACCTTTCTGGTGATGTAGCTCAGTAGGTAGAATGGTTATCTAGGATACACAAAGTCCTGGGTTGGAGCCCCAGCGTGGCATAAAACTGGACCTGGTAGCTATTGCCAATGATGCCAGCACTTCAGAAGTGGAGGCAGGAGGGTCAGAAGAAATTCAGTGTAATTCTCTGCTACATAACAAATTGCAGGCAAGCCTGGGGTAAAACAAACCTTACTTCAAAATAAAGAAGAAGAGGAGAGAAGACCATTTTTTTTCTAGTGGACTTCAGTGTCACCATTATTCTAAGGCAGGGGATTACACAGATGAAGATCTGTTTAGTGACACTGGTTTATTTGTTTGTTTGTTTGTTTTTGAGACAGGGCTTCAGTGGATGTCCAGGAACCAGGCTGCCCTCAAACTCACAGAGATCTGCCTGCTTCTGACTCCTGAGTGCTGGGATTAAAGGCACGAACTACCATCTGGCTATGACATGTTTGCTTTCCCTTTCCTGCCATACATTCTGCCTTAACTGCCATTGCTTTACAGTAAATCTTTACCACTCTAGGAGTGCACAGATCAGAAACTGTCTTCAAGATCTTAGATACTCTTGCCAACCTTTACGCTCCAAGCCTTTTAAAAAGTTTATTAGAAGTACATTTGGGAACTGGAGGTGTGGCTTACTGGTAGAGTACTTAGCACATACAAGGCATTGGATTCCATTATCGCCAGCACTACTTAAAAAAAAGACAGAGGGAGAGCCATTTTTTAAAAATTTATTTATTATATATACAGTGTTCTGTCTGCATGTATGCCTGTAGGTCAGAAATGGGGAACAGATCTCATTATAGATAGTTGTGAGCCACCATGTGATTGCTAGGAATTGAACTCATGACCTTAAGAGTAGCCAGTGCTCTTAACCTCTAAGCCATCTCTCCAGCCCCAGAGAGCCATTTTTAAGCTTAAGGGATAACTAATGTCTAAAGACATGTCTTGGTTTAATCGTTTAAAGACAAGTTTCACTTTGTAGGCCTGACTGGCCTGAAACTCACTTTGTAAATCAGGCTGGCCTTAACACACAAACACACAGAGATCTGCCTGCTTTTGCCTCCTGAACACTGCTGACATAATCTGTGTTAAGTGCCTGTATATTTACACAAAATAAATACAAAACAAAAACATCATTTACTTATAGATATTCTTAGAACATACATGATATATTTTCAGAACAAAGGCAGTGTTTTGGAACTAAAAAACTAAAGCATTCCAGGGGCCAATTTAAATACTATGTCAATGTTAAGTTTGCTATGACTCCTGTTTGTTTGGTAGGATCTGTTTCTATATGACTAAAATATAGCAAAATGTTTATATTTTAATGTCTTTGAGGAATTCACAATCCTCTTTCCTCAACCTCCCAAATATTAGGATTACAGGCATATGCCACAATACCCAGAAAATCGTTTAATTTATACTTAGGTTTAAAATAGTAGCTGTTTTAATTCATGAGGACACATATTTTTTAACTTTTTTATCCTTTAGAACTTACAAAATGTAGTATGGAAGCAGTTTGGAGTTTATTTCACAGAAACAATCACAAATTTTGATGAGCACTTTTAAATTCTTCACTGCTGGTGAGGAGAGGAGGGGTATGCATGTAATTCCAGCTTGAAGGCCCCTCACCCTAAAATATAAATTAATTAATTTACCTGCTTATAAATACCAGCAATGTATTTGCTTTTTTAATTTAAAAAATAATAGTATTATGTGTATATGACGGCAACCTGCCACAACCAACTTTGAGGAGTTGGTTTACCCTCCTTTTTGTTTTTTTAAGATAGTATCTCAGTGTATATTTAGACTTGCTTCAAGATCTCTATGTAGCCCCGGCTACATAGATTATAAACTTCAAAGTCATCTTCCTGCCTCAGCTTTCCTAGTGCTGGGATTATAAGCATAAACCACTACTGTTAGCTTCTAGGATTTTTTTTTTTTTTTTTTGCATTAGGAATTGAATCCAAGGCTTCATGCATATAGTAGGCAAGCACTGTACCACTTACTGAGTTATATTTCCAGCCCTTCACTGCTCATATAAATAATAACCGATGTAGTGCCACACACCCATAGCACTAGCACCTGGGGGACTGAAGTAGGATCAGAATTTTATTTTTATGTTTTTAAAAGTTTATTTACTTTTTCTTTTGTGCGTATGGGTATTTTGAGTGTGTAAATGGTTGTGAGCTACCATGTGCATACTGATCAATCCAGTGTTCTCTGGAATAACAGCCAGTGCTCTTAACCCTAGATCTAGCTCTCTATTTCCATGATTGCAAATTTAAAATCAGCATAGACAATGTAGCAAGACCCTGTCTCAAAAAATATATATACTATAATGTGTATTTTATGCATTTATGTATGCATGTATATTTTACATATATATGCATATACACATAAAATTTCACATCAAGTATAGATATATCTAGTTTAACATCTAGACTAATGCTTCCAAGTATCAGAATTTTCTAGAAAACTTGTAAAACTTTGTATTTGCTTCTAAACTATGAGTAGTTTAGAATTTCCAGGAGTAATTCTGTATTTTGAATTGCTTTTCCCTACTGGAGGTTGTTTCATTTGTGTGTGTGTGTGGGGGGGGTGTTGACTGGGGGGGGGGGGTTTGAGGGTATTTGTGTGTGTGTGTGTGTTTATATGTTTATTTATCTGTATTGTGGAGGGGTCTCAATTTATAGCCCAAGCTGTTCTGGAATTCACTATGTAGCCCAGGCTGGCCTTGAACTAGCAGTGATTCTCCTGCCTCTGCTTTCTAAATACCTAATGGGATTATGGCATGTGCCACTATACCCAGCTCTCATGCTGGTTCTTTTTTGAAGGCGTTCCTTGCTAATTTTTTTTTTTTTTATGACGTCTCTGTCAGTCTCTATAAAGTGGGTCTTTGAGGTACATGTCATTCTGCTTTATGAATGTTTTAAAGAAAAGGGGACTTCTTACGCGCCCCATGGAATCAGAGATTAGACAAAGCTAGTGATTAGACCTTCCAGCTGGAGGGCTCACTATCTTATCTGCTTGACACGTGTGCCTTGCTGTGTTGACTGTCACTCTGTGTCTTGGAAAAGTTAAGTCTTGTCTGAGCAACTGCTCCCCAGCCTTGGCTGGGGAAGAATGTACAATGAAAAAGAAAAGTCCAAGAGTTTTTGTCCAGGAAGGACATGGTTACTGCTATCTTGCACAATTATCCTGTGAGAGATGCTGTTACTTCCTATGCTTACACTTTTCCATAATGACAGTGAAAGGGCATGTTCTACCCCCACACCTGCTTCCAGTGGATATACTATTGAACAGCTTAATTTTCCACCTGCTCCTCTTCTCCTCCCCTCCTCTCCTCGTTCTCTTCTTCCCCTTACCTCTATAGCACTGTTTCATTGATGTATGCTAAGCAAGCACTCCAGCTACATCTTCAGCCCTAGTTTCATTTCTGAAGCAATAAAAAGGGATTGCCTAAAATCAGGATGTGTTGTCAAAAGGGTAAGTTATTTCAAAAAAACTTACTTGCTTCCTTTCTCTCCTACTCTTCTTGACCTTCTTCCTTCTCCTCCCCCTCCTCTTTTCTTTCCAGTACTGAGGATTGAAATAGTGCTTTGTGTATGCTAAGTGCATGCTCTGTCACTAAGCTATGCCCCCAGCTCTGTTTCATAAAACTTTTACATCTTTCTATTCAAGTAGAATATCATAACATGAATTTTTCCATATCAGTTTTTGTTTTAAACTTTAGGATATTATTTTTAAATTTTAAATGAGGGTTGCCTAGCAAGCTCAAGGCCCTATGTTCCATCCTCAGCTCTTAGGAGAGGGGCAGAGGAACTAAACAAGACAAAATAACAAAAAAGCTGGATGTGGTGGTACACACCTTTAAATCCCAGCACTCTAGGAGGCAGAAGCAGGTAGATCTCTCTGAGTTCAAGGGCAGCCTGATCTACAAATAGAGTACCAGGACAGACATGGCTATTACATAGAGAAACATTGTCTTGAAAAACCAAAATAAATGAATGAATGAATGAACATCTGTTTTTTAAAGGCCAAACAATACATTTTATATTAAAACAAAAATTTAGAAAATCTTTAGAGACTATCAGAATTAAGTGATCATATGTCTATTGACAGGGAGAAAGACATCTTTTGTTTACTATTTTACGGGTTTATTTCTATTTATGTGCATATATCTATGTAAGTGTTTGCCATCTAAAAAAGGATAGCTACATAAAACTCATGGTTTCTGAGGATTTGACTCATCATAGTGGGAGGGTGTGGTGGAGCAGAGCAGTTCAGGTCATGGTGGATATGAAGCAGAGACAGGAAATACAGGAAGGAGACAGGGCAAGATATAACTTACAAGGACACACATCTAGTGACCTGCTTTTCCAATTAGGCTACACTTCCAGCCTTCACACCTGCCAGCCGTGTCATCAAATTATGAATCCTTCAAGTGATTGATGCATTCATTACATCAGCACTGTGTGTTTTAATCATCTCTGGGAGCACACTCACAAATGTCCTCAGGAGAGAGCCTTACTAGTCTCCTGGCATTTCTCATTCTAATCAGGCCAACAATTAAGATCAGTCACCACATTCTGCCATTGCTGCAGAAGTATAAGGTTTTTTGAAATGTGGTACTTGTTCATAATGTCTAAAAGACTCACATTTTAAAAAATTTGAAACCTCTGATTACAGTGTGTCTAATAATTTGTTTCTCTATGAATTCTATGAGGGAACTTTTGTTACAACTTCTACAGGTGCAACAAAAAGCTAGGAAACAATCCTGTGTTCATCAGGCCTAGCTCCCGAACTCAGCTCTCTACCAGTCCTTCAGTTGGAGAATTGCCTCTAGAATTCCTGCATTGGAACAGGTTTTGCCCTTACGGTCTTTTCATTAAAATCAAAGCTAAAAGAGCCTCTAGCATCAGAATCACTCTTACCTTGCAGTGTGAAGAGAACGCAGCAAGTAACCCATCTAACCATTCTTGGTCCTTACCATTTTCATACAAATGCTGAGGCAATTTGATAACCTCTACCCCAAAATAAAAAACCAAACCAAGCCAACCAACCAACCAAACAAACAAACAAAAACCTTCTGGAATCAGAGATAGCACTGAACTAAAGATCCGTGTGGGGAAGATTATTATCTCTCTCATGTCAAGGGTAAGATGGCTCAGTGAGTAAAAGTGCTTGCTATGCAAACCTGATGACCTGAGTTTGATCCCAAGAAACTGTGATAGAAGGAGAGAACCAGCTTCTAAAAGGTGCCTTGTATTTTCCATACTTCTGCTGTGGAATATCATGTGTCCATATCTTTCTCTCTTTCTCTGTATAGGTGTGCACGCGCACATACACACACACTAAATTTTAAAAGAAATAAGGACTAAGAGATAAACTCTAGTACTGAGGATTGGGTTTTAAAAGTACTGAAAACTCAGTTCTCTCCCACAGTTAGATTATTTGAGATAGAGCCTCACATTGGGTCTCAACAGATTTCTGGAGCTGATCTAAATTCATAGATGGAACAGATTCACCTGCCTCACTCTCCTGTGTATCTGGGATGACAGGTGTATGCCACCACATCTGAATAGACTATTTTGAGGAAATACTAACCCACAATATTTTAACAGGCTTTTATATACAGAGTAGTGTTAGTACATTACATAAATTATGTTATTCACATGGTAATGCTGAGTTACAGTTTCTATCCATTTCACAGATGGGGACACCAAAGTCTAGTAAGAGTGTTGAAGGCCATGGTCAGCATGAGATGCAAATCCCTGCAATCTATATGTGATCAGCAGTCTTCACCATTTTATGAAATCGTTTTCCTAGTTGACAGGTAAGGCCTAAGTGAGTGGATGGATAGGGTTAGGGAAAGACAGACAGAAGAAATGTAGTAAGACTTGCTTCAAGTATCCCTACTGCACTTGTCTACCTGTCCAAATGGCCACTCCTTCTCCCATTTCAGCACTGACACAGGAAGTCCTTCTAAAGAGCTGCCTGCCCTCTGTTTTCCCAAATCCCAAATGTAGTCCTGGCCAGGTGAAGCAGAGAACAGTCACTCTACCAAGTTTGTACCTTGTAAATCTGGTCATGCTGCACAGATCTGGGTTATTTCCCTGGTCCCATGAATCTATTCAGAGACTGAACCATTAGGGGAAAAGCAGAATTTGCAGATGGGTAACCGAAGCTTACAATTCCCTGTCCCTTGCAGGATGGCCATTTCATGAAGTTAAGACTGGCTGTCTTCCCTCCTGTTGTTCCCCCAATGCCTGCTCTCCCAAGGTCAGTTTGGAGGCCTGCAGTATGGCTTCATCCTCCTCTATCCCAGCCTGTCCCACTCAGTCTAAGAAGCCTGGAAACAAGATAGCTGGTGAGTAGAACCTGTCTCCTAATTGTGCTCTGATTCCTAAGAGAACAATTCCCAGCTTGCTCGTGAAGTGTGAGGACTGACATGTCCAAACTCAGGGAAGAGATGCAGAAAGCTGGTGATAGGGAAATAGCAGCTGGTGGGACGACCCAGAGCTTCATGGAGAGGCAGAAGTTATGCATGATGGATTCTGCAGGCCTTTGTTCCAGATTTTCTTGAATCTGGCCTGCTTGGCCAGAAGACTATTGGGCTGAGTGCTTAACATGGTGTATCTTGACATCTGAATCTTTTTCCAGAACCTTTCAGAGGAAGGAAGCAAGGAAAGAAATGATGAAACAATCCCCAGAACAGCTCAGTGTTCATATTACAGAGTACTTACCAGGCACTGCATTATCTCAGTTCACCTTTAAGAACAAAACAAACCGATTTTATAGATGAGGAAGTGGAGATCTGGGCCAATTCACTTCAGGCCATAGAACAAGCAGTATGGCAGGTCTACAGTCCATCTGGTACCTGAAATACTAACTTCTTTATTCACTGGGAGCTGTGACTAATAGCCCTTAGCCCCTGAACAGAAGGACAGATTTCCGTCCTGCTACACCCACGCCAGTGTCGCCATAGTAGCATAAGCTACAGGGCGGGGGATATGCTTTCCCCGGAAATTCGCCCCCTGGAAGGTCCCTGGCAAACTCATCCCACTTGGAAAAGAGATGTGTTCTGAGATTTCTACACTTCTTCAGTTGTGGCCCTGGGGCAGGAGTAATGAATTCTTTGATCTTTGTCTGTGACTCCTAAAACAGCACAACTAATTTTATAAAGAAATTTATCATTAGTAAATTGTTAAAGGCTTTAATAAAAATAATAAGTTTAAAGAAAGGTAATGAATTAGATTTAGTATTAATAGGCATTAAAAATAGTGAAAAAATAATAGGCTCCTTCTTAAGAAATAATAGCATGAGAGGTGCAGCTGGCGGGAGTTTCCCCTCCCTTTTCAGTACCTTGTTCCTGGGGAAGATCATAAATCTTAAGCAAGACATATGGGAGGATGGTTAACAAAGGTGTAGTTAGATTTTGATATAGAGAGGGACTTTGGCAGGCATCTGACTTAGCTCCTGACTTTCCTCTTCACTGGTTAGCAATATGAAACTATATTTGAGGTTTCTTTTCCTTTGTTTGCTGTGATCAAAAAGTTTTTAGGCCAAGATTACTTGTGGGCACTGCTTTATGTTTGACTGCGTTTTGAGTTAAAATGTAAACTTTGTATTCTTGGTAAAAAGTCTGAATGTTCTGGGAAGTATGCCAATTTTAAGGTGCCTTTTGTATAAAAATACTAGCTTGATTTCAGTAAAGTTGAAGCATAGTCAAAACCATCAAGGTGTCTCTGTCTGTCAATTCTTCGCCAAAAACCGTGTCTTCCTGTCCAAAGCCTTGTTCTCCCGCAAACGATGGGAGCCCGACTGGGCCGGTCTGTGGCACGTCCCCTGGCCTTTCCTCTTTATTCATTTGTTTTAACTCAGGCTGTCTTAAACTTGCTATTATAGTTGAGGCTGACCCTGAATTTATGGTCCTGTTTCTATCTCCCAAATGCTGGGAATACAGGTACGTAGCACTGTATGCATATTCACTGGCCCTTCTCATTCTTACCTTCATCTAAGTTCACCTCCTTTCAAGCTGCAGCTAGGCTTTGGGCCTGATTAATCCTTATGTGCAGCTATAGTTCTTTGTTTACGCACTCAGGCAGGTGACTATCCTGTGGTAGAGCCTTTTGATTTAGATGGACTCTGGAAAGCAGCTATCAAATGATCAAGAAGAGAACAACATCATCTATATTTATTTTATAATTAAATAATTAATTTAATTATAATTAAATATATTATTTATATATTATATATTAATTATAATTAAATAAATTGTTTTATTATAATTGGCATTTTTATTTTATTTTTTCTGGAAGGGTCTTACAATGTAGCTTACAATGTGGCTGGCCTGGAACTCACTATGTAGACCAGGCTGGTCTGAACAGAGGTACACCTGCCTCTGCCTCCCAGGTGCTGGAATTAAAAGCATGGACCACCATGCACAGCAAATTTTATTTTATTGTTAAGAAGATCTTTCTGTTTTGTCCAACCTGGCCTTGAACTACTAGCTCCTCACTGTCTCAGCCTCCTAGGTAGCTAGACAACAATAAATAGTACCTCTCTAAAGTGTCTGAAGTGGCTGTATCCCACTAAGGCAGGCTGCTTGCCTGCCTGCCTGCCTTCTCCCTGTCCCTGACCTTGTCCTCTCTCTCTTTCTTGTTTGTTTGTTTTTGAGGTAGGGTTTTTCTGTATAGTCCTGGCTAGCCTGCAACTCACTGTGTAGACCAGCCTGGCCTGGAACTGAGGGATACACCTGCCTCTGCCTCCTGAGTGCTAAGATTAAGGGCTTAGGCCACCACCATCTGGCTAAGGCTGCCTTTCTTAATTGGGCTGGTAAAACACTTGGAAAGGATTTGAATTCTATCAGTATTGAGGAAACCTTTAAAGCTAGCAAGAACTGAAAGGTGAGCCAAACAGCAGGGCAGGAGGACTCTAAGAATAAGATGAAGCTAGCAGAGTCTAGCTCATTTTCCTTGGGGAGGGTTTCAGCTAGCTGACCACAAGTCTCAAATCAGCTCACTGTTTCTCCCCTATAGACTGGTTCAGACAGACTCTGTTAAAGAAGCCCAAGAAGATGCCGGTCTCCGAGGAAAGCGAGCTCAGTGATGGTCCACAGAGAGCCACACAAGATGGTCTCCTACCCTCAAACTGCAGCCCACCCCAGAGCCGCAGCTCACCGGAGAGCTGCAGCTCACCCCAGAACCCCAGTTCAGGAATATCTTCTGTGCCACCATCAACACACTTGGATACGAGCTGCAGCAGTGGCCGCTGGAGCAAAGACTATGACGTCTGCGTGTGCCACAGTGAAGAGGACTTAGAGGCCGCCCAACAGCTGGTCTCCTACTTGGAGGGTTGCAAGGCCGGCCTACGCTGCTTCCTGCAGCTTCGGGATGCAACCCCAGGTGGCGCCATTGTTACAGAGCTATGCCAGGCACTGAGTAGTAGCCATTGTCGTGTGCTATTCATCACCCCAGGCTTCCTTCGGGATCCCTGGTGCAAGTACCAGATGCTGCAAGCCCTGACGGAGGCCCCAGGGTCGGAGGGTTGCACCATACCCCTGCTATCCGGCTTGACCAGAGCCGCCTACCCGCCAGAACTCCGATTCATGTACTATGTGGATGGCAGAGGCCAGGACGGTGGCTTTTACCAAGTCAAGGAGGCTGTCGTCCGCTGTAAGGAGGGCTGGGATGGGGGTGAGGAGTCAGCTGGTGTCTATATAAGGATTTTAGGAGATAGGCTCTGTAGCTTTAGTGATTCAAGTTCCTGGAGAATTCTGACTGGATTTGTACCCTGCCACCTTCACCCATTATTATTTGAGAAGTTACTTGGGCTGTTACTTAGCCCCTCTGAACCTTGAGTTTTTCATTGTTCATTAGGACTCCATTACTATGGAATGAGCACATGTCAAGTATTCGTAACAGGCAGGACCTAGCACAAACTGAATCCTCAATTAACATTAATTAGCAAGTAGTAAGTGATAGTAATAGGTTTTTCTCTGAACTTCAATTAGAGGTGTGTTCCAAGAGCTGGGCAGATGCCAGCGGTGACATCAGTTCAGCAATGCAAAATGGTAAAAGTAATAGAAATCAGTTGCACCTTATGAGTGTATCAAGGGAGGGACTTATTGTAGCAGGTGGGGCCAAAACATGATGAAAACAGAAGAGAGAAACAGATGTGCTGGATTTGGGTGGAATGACAAGCCTTGAGATTCTGTTTGGTCTTTTTCAGATCTGGAGACACTAAGTTGACACTTAAGTTTTCATGAGAAAAGCTGGAAATAACTCACACCAGGTCTCGGATTCCAGGAAATACAGCAGGAGGCATAATGAGCCAGAGCCAGAGCCAGCCGCACGTGTACATGACACAGGATCAGATTGCCACCAGCCTCCATTACTGGGGGCCCTGTAAGACGGCCAGGCAGAAGATGGGGACCCCCCCCAAGGAGACCAGGCGAAAGATGGGGATTCCCCAAGAAGGGCAAGAGGAAACCAGGGACTCCCCCAGGAAGGCAACAAGGAAGTCAGAAATTGGAGTGTGATATGGGGGAGGGCAGCAGTGTCTCATCTGCTGCTTGATGGGACAGGAAACGGACACACAGCTGGCTTCTTCCCTTGGAATCAGGCACTGGGGTGATAGGCACCACTCCTCCAGAGGGATGGGCCTGCCTGGTGAACTAGAAGTCAGTGCTCTTCCCACTTGCCTAGGAAAACTGGGAAGAGGTGACAGGTATCAAGCCCTTTGCACACTATTACAGCTCTTTCTCAGAGCTGACAACTCACTTCACAGAGCTGGATGACAGACACATTCAGACCCACACTGAATTTCACTTACTGAGCAAATGTCATTAAAGATGCAAACTTAGAGGCTGGAGAGATGGCTCAGTGGTTAAGAACTCTTGTTGCTTTTGCAGAGGACCAGGGTTCAATTCCCATGATCCACATGGGGGCTCATTAGCCTTATCTATAACTCTACTTCCAGGGGATCCAATGCCTTTAACCAGGATTTCCTTGGGCACCAGGCACACATGTGGAATACACACACACACATATACATACATGCAGGCAAAGCAATCATACACATAAAGAAATATTTTTTTAATTAGAAATATGAACCTAGAACTATAGATGGAGCCTGTGGTAGAACTCTTGCTTGCCTGAGGGCTTGGTTTTCACCTCTAGCACTACAAGAGAGAAAACACGGACCTAGAAGCTATTCTGAACACATGAACAAGTGGGGAGAAGGGAAGCCAGGGTACAGGGCTCCTTCCCCTGGGTCAAAAACCCACTGATCCTGTGACACATGGGGCCTCCTCAGACATCTGCTAGAGCCCATGCTTTGCAGCGCCTGCCCTTATATTGATCCGAGTGGAATTAGTGTTCTCAATCTAGCACCAGAGTGCATCCTCAGGGAGAGACAAGGTGTTACCTGTGTTCTCAGTAAGAACAGCAACATGGTCAACTGATTATCATTGTTTACCCTGATGTGTATCTTGAGCCTCTTCTCTTCCTTTTGACATGTTCCTTTACTGAAAATATTTTTAAATTATGATTTTTCTGTGACATACAAAATATCTAAAAGATATTTTATCCTTTACTGTACTTTACCATACTCATGCACCTACCACATAGCTTATTCCCAACATGTTCTTCATCCTTTGTGTTCTGAATTCCAGGCTCTTCATGTTTCCTAACAAAATAACCGCTATTCTGAATTTTGAATTATTTTGAGCTTTTCTAAGTTTCTATAGATGTATGCAAATCAGCAACATGTTATATAATTTTAAGACTATCTTTTATACAAATTGCATCACAATGTACATTTTTTTGACATGTTTGTGAGGTGTGTTCATGTTAATGTGTCATTCATGAGTGTCCTTCTAGGTCAACAGTTCTCAACCTGTAGGTCACAACCCCTTCATAGGGTTGTGTATCAGATATCCTGCATATCAGAGATTTACACTATTCATAATAATAGCAAAATTACAGTTATGAAGTAGCAATGAAAGTAACTTTATGGCTGGGGTCACCACATGAGGAACTGCATTAAAGGGTCTCAGCATTAAGGAAGGCTGGGAACCACTGCTCTAAGATCACCTTAAAGTGAAGTCCAGGTACTTTCTCCCTAAGTTTTAGTTACATACCTCTAATTCATGAGATGTTTTTTAAAGCATGACATTTTTATTATAGTTTAAAATACTTTTTATGAAGCTGTAGTCAGTGCTTTTTCTGTCTTACAAAGTTCCTCCTGTGTTGTTCTTACATTTTCTTCTATATTCAGTCTTGAAAAACATTGATTATGTTTTCTTCCAAAGTGTTTCTATTCATATTTAGATCTTTACTCCACTTGGGGTTGTTTTGTTATTTTGTTGTTGTTTGTTTTGTTGGCTTTTGAAACAGGGTCTGTAAGCTAGACTAACCACAGACTTGAGATCCTCCTAGCTCAACCTCCCAGATGTTCGGATTCCAGGCATTTTAAGTTATGGCATTATTATTGCTGGCTAGTTCTTGGTTTTCAAGGCAGAAATCCAATTCTTTTCTCTCAGTTTCTATGAGTTACTCAGTAGTCTATCCTATCCCCACTGTTTGTTATTTTTCTATTTGTTTGAGATAGGATCTCACTATGTATCTATCCCTGGCTGGCCAAGAATTCACTATGTAGACCAGATTGGCCTCAAACACATACAGGTCTTCCTGCCTCTGCCTCCCCAGTGCAGTGCTGGGATTAAAGTTGTGGGCTATCACACCCGGCTACTGCTGTTCCATACTGTCATATGTATGTGTCTAGTGTCTAGTATCCCCTATGTTAGTGCCACGGAATCTTTTAAGAAGCCTTAATGTGCCAGGCAGTTGTGGTACCTGCCTTTAATCTCAGCATTTAGGAGGCAGAGGTAGGAGGATCTCTGATTTTAGGTCAACCTGGTCTACAGAGCAAGTTCTGGGACAGCAAAGGCTCCACAGATAAACCCTGTGTATCTTTATTGGAGTTATATTCAGTTTATGGACTTGACTTGGAAGAACAAGTACTTTTATGACAAAGTCTTCCTCTCCATAAAGGAGTGTTACCACTTAAGTCCTTCAATGTATTTCAATAAATTTGTATAATATTTTTCATATTTATTAATCTCATATTTTATTAGATTTATTTTTCACTTCATACTTCTGCTGCTACTGTAAAGAATTTTAAAATTATATATATGCCTTTTGTTGCCAAAAAGGATTATATATAATATATTGGTGTAACTTTAATAATGTGCTGAGTTATTTATTGTAAATGACTATTTTATTGAGTTTCTGTGCTTCTTAGGACTTCCAGTGCAATTGTGAAAGAATTGACAACAACAGCCATTCGGGCACATTTATTAGAGGGAATACTTCAACCATTACACCATTAAAATGTGCCTACTTAGCCAAGCACAGTGGCCCATGCCTGTAATCCCAACACTCAAGGAGGCAGTAGCAAGGGGGGAATCTCTGTGAGTTTGAGGCCAGCCTGGTCTACAAAGCCAGTCCAGGACAGCCAGGGCTACACAGAGAAACCTTTTCTCAAAAACAAAAACAAAAAAGGCTGAATTTTTTTGTTGTTGAATAACTATTGATTTTAAAATTAAGCGGTAACTTAATCATGTCAGTGGACAAGGACCTTTCCGATTCTGAGGGTCTACAATTTAAAGTCATGAGGGAGAGGTTGAATGAGTGTGTGTGGAGTCACAGGTTCCCCACTTTCTCTTCTTAGGTTCAAGTGCTCTAACTGCACTAAATGTTCATCTTCCTTGGTTCCTTTCTACCTAGTAGTAACTGCCCTTCCTGGCCCTAATAGAATTGTTTTACATTTGACTGGCAGCTAGGTGCTCCTGTCTCCTAGGCAGAAGACTAGAGGACTATTCTGGGGAATCAAAACTGCACAATAGAAAATTCTCACAGACTTCGGTGTTGGTAACTCCAAAATTACGTAAGGCGAGTTTTAAGGTGGACTAGCTCATCTAGTGCTATAGTGGCACAAAACATGTGGGAATAACTAATCAATATCTGATTGGATTTCAGTCCCAGTTCAGGAGATGCATAGTTCAGAGACTTTTTGAAATCAAACACATGGTAAATCCTCCTACCTCAGATTTCAAATGATAGAATAATAGTATGAGCCACCATACTTAGCTTAATCTGTTATTTCTCACAGATATGTCCCCAATTAGGAACTTATGAGGTTGTATTAGTTGCTTTCTATTGCTGTGATAAAACATCATGACCAAAACAACATAAGGAGGGGTTTATTTGGGCTTACAGTTCCAGAGGGTCCACCACAGCCGAAAAGCTGGTGGCAAACAGAAGGTTGGAACAGGTTTATTGTGGGGCTTTTGCGAACCTGTTTGCGGTTCAAATAAGACACAGGACTTCTATATTGTTTAAAGCTGTTGGCCTTTAGCTGTGGCAGTCTCTTAGCTACTACATCTAAAATCCTCCACCATCTCTCTCCATGTGGTTCTGTTGAGATCTGCTTCAGCTTTTTGCCTAAACTATAGCCATAAGCCATTTTGTTCCTAGTTTCCATCTGGATTGTGAGGGGAAATTAAGTTCAAATTCTCAGAGTCTGCTTGATTGTCCAATAATGGTGTCAGTGACTAATCCTAAAAGGGCAGGGTAACCTCGTATCTTCCTGTGATACAATGATGTTATCATGCTTTGTCATCTCTACATTTGGTTACACCCTGGGTACACTATGAAAGACCCCAGTCACTGCCTTGCTTGCCCACTTGGAACCAATCAGCTAAAAGGTCAACTGAAAATGTAATACTGCTCTTCCCCTTGCTCTCCATCCTTGGTTTTTCTATAAAAAGCTTGCTGTAAGAGCAGACCAGCGATCATGATCAGCCTGTAACAGGTATTCAATAAACCATCAATTTCTGACTGAGATCAGTATCTGAGTGGTTTGTGTGGCTATTCCTGGACTAAAACAGTTCTCACTACCTGCTTACAGCTCTGTTCTATCCCTTTACTCTCTTCCACATCCTTTCTAGTCTGTCTTCACGTCTTGCCTGTGTCTCTGCCTGCTGGAAATGTTGTTTTTAATAAAATCTCAATCATCCGATTTTACCAATGAATTGGAAACCAGATGCTGGGATGAAAGTCTGCTGACTCAAGAGAAGCAGAGAATGTACCCAGCTGACCTTCCTTCTCAGCCAAAGTCTCAAAAGGAAGGCTTCCCCATGCTTGTAAGTTTAGATTTTTCACTAAACCTACTTCATTTAGGGCTTTTAAATGTTTCTACCTCCCATCCACCCACTGACCAGAGGTCAAAGAGAGAAAGACTGAATCTTACTGTTCTCCCATTGGCTCGTTTTGCTTTCTAAGCACCTCAACGATTATCAAAAACTCCTCACACTGAGCCTGGTGAGGTGGCGCATGATCCCAGTGCTCGGGGAGGCAGAGGCAGGCAGATCTCTGTGAGTTTAAGGCCAACCTGGTCTACAAAGTGAGTCCAGGACAGCCAAGGCTACACAGAGAAACAAAACAAAATCCCCACACTGAATGTTTCTTTGTGTCTCTTGATCAATCCTCTTGATTCCCTCTTATTCTCTATGGCCATTTCCTGCCAACTGGTTGCTTGCTCTGCCTCTTGGTTGACAGTTATTTAATCCTGTTTATATTTAAGTAGGAAGCTCTTGGATTAAAGGTGTGTTCTAGGGCTGAGCACACCACAAGTAAAAACAGGTTATTTAGTAAACAACACAATCTCAATGCTCACAGTGTAATCAAATATTTTGCAACTTGGAAATCCTGCCCCAGTACTTCCTGCCCCAGCTCTGGGCCCTCAGCTCTTTATTACACAAAAAGCCACATTTCAGTCTGAACCAATCAGGAGCAAGACAACACTGGATCCATCTCTTATGGGTTGCTCTTTGGCAGGTGAGGATGGGCCAAAGCAATGACAATATGAAAATCCTGCAAGCACTTAGCTCACTGCCACAGAATTAACAAAAAACATAGGGACACACCTCAGTGTGAAGGAAGTTTATCCCAACACAGGTTTCTGAAGGCTCACATCTTGAATTACAGGCAGGTAGAAGAGAGAATAATTTAAGGTTGAGACCCTAAGCTCTCAAAACCTGCCCCTGATGACATACTCCTCCAGTAAGGCCATACCTTCTAATCTTCCCCAAACAGCTCCATCAACCAGGAATCAAGTATCCAAATGCTGGAGGCTATATTCATTCATATGTATGTTCCTGTGTAACTAGATATTTTCCTTCTGGGACATCAGCTGAGCAGTAAGATCAGCTGGATGCTTTCTCTGCCTCTCTGAGCTAGTAGGTTTTTCACCCCAGCACCTGGCTCCTGAGTCTTTATTGGTAAAATCAAACAGTTGGAATTTTCTTTTTTTAAAACAACAAATTCCTTCCAAGAACAGCACTCAGATGACCTAACAACCTTCCAGGAGTGTGATTGTTTGAATGAGGATGACCCTCATTGGCTCATGTACGTTAATACTTAGTCCCCAGTTGGTGGAACTGATAAGGAAGTGTGTCCTTGTTGGAAGAGGTGTGTCACTGGGGTTGAACTTTGAGGTTTTAAAAGATTTGCATTATTCCCAGTGTCTCTCTGTTAGTTTGCCTCAGGTCTCAAGATGTGAGCTCTCAGCTCTGGCTCTATCACCAGGCTGCCTGCCTGTTACTATGCTCCTTGCTATAATAGTCACAAACCTTAACCTTTTGGAATTATAAACCCAAATAGACTCTTTCTTCTATGAGGTGCCTTGGTCATGATATCTCATCACAGGCATAGACAGTAACTAATACAAGTAGTGTGCTGCCTAGTTTTATATCAACTTGATACAAGCTAGAGTTATTTTAGAAGAAGAAACTTTAATTGAAAAAAATATCCCCACCAGATTGGCTGTGGGCAAGCCTAGGGTACATTTTCTGGATTGATGATTGATGTGGAAGGACCTAAGCCCATTATGGGTGGTGCCATCCCTGGGCTGGTGGTTCTGGGATAAGAAAGCATACCATGACACTCACGTGGAGATAAGAAAACAATTTTATAGAGCAGATTCTCCTCTTCCACCTCTATGTGAGTTCTAGGTATGGAACTCAGGACATCAGGCTTTCCAGGTTACTTTAGCCGCTGAGCCATCTTGCCAGCCCTTCCCTGAAAGATGAAAAAGAAAGAAAACATTGTATCCTGTTATCTAGGTCTCTCTTGGTCCTGTGTGAAATGGAAACATCTAGAAAGTATATAAAACAAGTCCCTACTTAAATAGGAATCAAATTTAAAGCAAAGTTAAGGTTCTTTTAAACATGTTTATAATTAATGTCTTGTGTGTACGTGTCTTTGTATGTGTGTGTGTGTTTGGTATTTTTGTTGTCTGAGACATTATCTTTCTATGAATCTCAGGATGGCCTTTTGTTCCTATGGAGAGTTGTAAAACAATGTTTTATTAATATTTTTGCACAGCTGCACATAATGAATGAATGAACACACCAAACACAAATTAAGTATTAAATTTAATTAATTATTAAATTTAGTGCATGTCTGTACTCTTGTTGGGTTCAGTTTTAAGACAGCCTGTCTCAATTTTTGTTTTCTTTTTGTTTTTTGAGACAGGGTTTCTCTGTGTAGCTTTGGCTGTCCTGGACTCCCTCTGTAGACCAGGGATCTCTGTAGACCAGAGATCTGCCTACTGCTGCCTCGGCAGTCCTGGGGTCACAGGCGTGCGCCACCGCGCTGGGCAAAATAGCCTGTCTCAAAATACCAAAACACAAACAAAACAAAATCCCCACATTTAATGTTCCAGATTTAGAATTGTCTCCGAAATAATTTATGAAACAGTAGATTTTTTTTTTCCTGAGTGTATCATTCCTTGTTAGTTAAGAAGAAGCAATCTAAAACAGCTAAACTCATTAGAGGGCGCTGTCACTACTTGTTGCTCAAACAGCAGGATACAAAAGAGGCCCCAAACCAGCACTTTTAAAAAGGTCCCTTATGCTGGCGGTGGTGGTGCACACCTTTAATCCCAGTATTGGGGAGGCAAAGGCAGGTGAATATCAGTGAGTTCGAGGCCAGATTGGTCTACAGAGTGAGTTCCAGGACAGCCAGAGCTACACAGAGAAACCCTGTCTCAAAGACAAGACAAAACAAAACAACACACACACACACAATAAGAAATAAAATAGCTTGTAGATTTATTTTAAAAAACATTCCTTCCAGGTCCATCTCGTGAGTGGGGATGTTAATGTAAAACGTCAGTATTTAACACTCGGTGTCCAATATACAGAACTCAAAGGTGTTTTCGGTTTCCCGCCGCAGGCACTGGGCTGAGGCGAGGTGTGTCTCTTCATCGCCTGCCAGCAGGACCCCAGCAGGGGCTCAGTGAATCGAACTAAATCTGCTCCTCTGCAAAGGTCATCGGAAGACCCTCCTCTCAAACAAGGAAAAGACCCTGCAGAAGAGGACAGCAACCTGAAGCACGCCGGGAAATGGAGTAGCTGCCTTGCCTGCGCAGAGCATGCCGGGAGTTGAAGTTCAGCTCCTCACAAGCCTTGAGAAGGGACCGCTAGGGGCGTGGGCAGCGGCTCCTGCGTGCAGGCAGGCGGGTACCGCTGTTCCCGGGCAGTATGGCGGATACAGCGCCTCAGCTCAAGAGAAAGCGCGAAGCGGAGGCAGAGGAGGCAGAAACCCCCAGCACAGAGGAGAAGGAAGCAGGCGTTGGCAATGGTACCTCTGAACCTGTCCGCTTGCCGTTCTCCGGCTTTAAAGTACAAAAAGTGCTGAGGGAGTCTGCGCGGGACAAAATTATTTTCCTGCATGGGAAGGTACCATTAAACACCCCGGGGGAAGCGGGAAGGAGGGAACCAATCTTCGTGTCAGAAGCGGAGCTTTTTTCATTGGGAACTACCAATCACGTCATTCGGGGAAGGTGGCGTGTACCGCCAGTGTGATGCTTGGAGCGAGATTACTGTGCAATTAAAGGAATGCACACATCTAGGTCTAGTTGCTCCAATTTCTCCTTCCCTAGAAATACCATGTTAAATTCCCCAAGCCATTCATCATCTTATTTTACGTATAAAGTTATTTTACGTATAAAGACTCCAGGAATTTAGCAGATGTTTCCTCTGGGCCCTGTCCCTGGAAGGGACGATCTCACGTATGCACCCAGGCATGTGCTTGGGATGTGGAGACGATAATTCCTGTTCTGGGAGGAAAGCGTGTTTGTGGAGGCAGATATGCTGCTGGCTCTTTATTTTTTATTTTTTAAATATTTATTATGCATACAGTGTTCTGTCTGCATGCCAGCAGAGGGCACCAGATCTCACTATAGATGGCTGTGAGCCACCATGTGGTTGCTGGGGATTGAACTCAGGACCTTTGGAAGAGCAACTGGTGCCCTTAACCTCTGAGCCATCTCTCCAGCCCATGCTGCTGGCTCTTAACACCATGTACTTAGCTGTGTTAAACTTAGCTTAAACTACTGAGAAGGCCTAGTTAAGGCAGATAACAAAGTTTCCCTAGGATGGGATGCTTAAAACTTTCCTTGTGACTTTATTCTGATGAGAAAGTTTTACAGAACCCTGGAGATATAGGCATATAAAATAGGTATACAAATCAAACATTTACTGATAATGAATCATAAGAAAATTAAAATAGATGGCAGCTGAAAAACTTTGAATCTTTTGGAAGAATGGTCTGAGAATTTCTACGAGGATTTTGATTAAGATAGATGCCTTTTCTCGGAGAAGTGAGTGCTGTACTTCCTCAGAAGGGAGTCCTCAGGGAAGGAAATACAGGTGCTGTGGTTTAAGAGACCCTCGTATCACAAGTGCTGGGATTTTTATTATTATATCTTTGCTTTATTAGTGTGTGTGTTTGTGTTTGAGTATGTGTCCATGTGTAGGCTAGAAGGCAACTTCAGGT